CTTAACATTCACATTCTCTCTATATTCCAAGAGATAACAAGAAACTATTTAATTATACAAACATTATTCTCCTCTATTCTTTATATTCAAATTATGTTCAAATTATATTCAAGCTATAATTTTCCTGATATAATTATCATTGAATATAATAGCATTTCAATCCCAAAACCATTAATTTCCTTTGCTATCCTTTACTTTTTTTTTTATTATACTTGATCCATAAGCTTAGTCTGGCTTATTAAACATCCTACATATACTAGGATCTTAATTATATCACACATGGATCCATAACTCTTTCATATGAATTCCCAAAGTATAGAAGTCTTTATCTTAAAGCTGCTGAGGTATCACTATTCCTATTTTTCTCAAATCTTGTTACCCATGATCCCTAATTTGTTAAAACTCTAAATACTGACTATCCTCATTTAAATCACTAATTACTGACTATCCTCATTTAAATCATATTAATTTATACCCTTCACGTTTCTGTAATTGATTACAATTGATCTCTTTTCTTAATATCCATACAATAACAGGACTAGATCCATCCTTACTTATCTAATTACTAGTATTATATCAATTAAATAATTGGAACAATTATCTCTCCATGTCCCGATGTCATTCACCAATACTCTTAATCATCATAAAGCCCAATATTAACATAACGTAAGTACCTTAATTCCCTTTATGGAGTACTCAGATCATAGAATCTCCATTTAAAACAAAATCATTGATTGTAATTCACATAACCATGGTGGACCATTATTTTAAATATCAAAAGGCTAAATGACCATTAGATTTAATTCTACTTGTACCAATATTAAAAACCATAAGATGCCACAATACACAATATCCATTTACTAATGCCATACAGAGTAAGTTTGTCTATTACTACGGATCACATTTTACGTATCTTATAACCACAAATAATTTATATGATTCCCTATATTCATACACTTGAAGGGAATAGTTGATGAATGACTACAATACACTTTACTCCACCAAGCAGTAATTACTTTCTTAATTAAAAAATCACTGGTATAATATTCCCCAATAATTAATTCTTTATGAAAAATACTCCATTCTCCAATTATTAAATAGCAAATCACACCAAAATCCTTACTTTTTTTTTCAGTATGTACTTATACTAATTAAATGTAATTATTCCATCCAGAAAAATATTTACCCCCAATAAACTATAATATAATTCCAACCAACCAACATCCATGATAGAAATGCAAATACATAATAATTAATTCGGCAATTTAAAATATATTCTAGATGTCCTCATCCGATACGTTTTATTCTTATTAAATAAACTAGCAAACTATTTCTCCAATTCTGCGGCACACATATACCACGCACTACCATCATCTTTGTTATTTTTTTAATTATGTATTCTAAATTCAACACTATATTATAAATAGATACACTTTACAGTATTTGGACTTCATTTTTTTCATATGCAACTTATTTCTTACATACTTATTATATATGACTTTATTTCCATACGAAGGATTTTTGTTAAACCGTCTCCTAGCATCATTAACTAATCCTCTCTACGCAGGATGCTTTGTTAATCATTCAACTTGACTTTAAGTCTGGTTGCGAAACAGACGCGAAAGGGAATAGCAAAGGAAGACCAATGTGCCAAGACAATGACAGGTATCTACTCCGCAGTTACTATTAACTTATAACTTATGACTCTGTACACCTTTGTCTAACGACCCGTTTCCGTGGGCCGGACTCGGCACTAGGCACCAGGTAAGCTTAAGGCCCCGGGCGCCGTGTAAGTAATTATTACCTATCTGTCTCAATTATCTAAACAGTAAGCCTCTTCAAACATAATGGACCCAATCTCGATTACACATAATATATAACCTGCGGGCCTATTTCACAATAAATTATAATCCATTAGGCTACTGGCTTACTGGTTCCCTGCGGTAGTTTGCATAATATATAATTTAATAGTGTAATGCCTACATAGATCCAATAATTCATACACACCCTATACTGCGAGAGTCCAGAAATATCTGATAACGTATTATATACATCCAAAATTAAATAACAGGACATATAACAGTTTACATTTAATAACTCTGCGGAGATAAGATTGCACGAGCTCCAGTCGATCAGCTGCCTTCCTAGTACCTGGAGGTTTGTTGGGGGAGAGGTGAGTTTTGCAAATCAGCGAAATAATAATAATAATACACACACATACGTCAAGCTAAACATGCACCCTGTTTTACTGAATGAACACACACAGTCATCAGATGACAGATTACATCAGCACACACAATACTTCACCTTAATTATCACATCAGTGGAAATTAAGTCAGTGGGTCAACCGAACTCCCGATTGAGCCGCCTCAGCCCCAGCTCATCCTCACATGTGCCCAGGGAGCCGATCCCCTCATACTGGCCGAACTATAACCGGTCTAATCCTCGCTTGACCGCCTCTCAATATTGTTTTATTTTTTTTTTTTTCAATTACTCTCTTTTCTTTCCATACCAACTAGGAGGCAACGCCGGATCGTCTCCATCAAATTCTAGATCATTCAGGCCAGCTCACAACAGGAGGCCACCACTGCGGGCCTGCGATAAATCAAGATTTAGCGTGCGCCCAATAAAGAAGCCAACCATGTGGCTTACAGTAACAGTAACGGTGGGTGCACACGGGGGCGCGATCTCTCCCATTTACCCGAGCTAAATCGACAGAATCAGGTAATCCTATAACAGAACAGTCTCACAATCCCATGGTTGACCCACTTCAACTCCCTAATTCCACACAAACAAATGCACAGTATAGTCCACAGCACAAATAACAACATTTCATTCTCTCAATAACACATTTTCATCCATGCCAATCTATATATTATAGTATAATTATAGTTGATCAGTAAACAATAAATATAAATATATGATCAATACTATATTTTGTATATATGTAAATAAAAATATAATATTTAAAATAATATGATATGATAATGCGTGTTTGAATATGTCATTTATTATTTACTCACAGTGATGGAGAGCGAAAATTCTAAGCTTCGATGCTTTGTCCTGGAGGAGCAACTAGATGGACCCGGGCGATCTAAGAAAAGAAAGGACACAGCAAGAAAATAATTCATATCAGACAAAATATTTTTATCTTTACCACTCTAAAATTTTATTTTAAATAATTTATCTAAACTCTTTCTATGTAATATTTATCAATCGAGATTTATAATATTATTTCTATAAATAAAATTTATTTTTTCACTATTCCCGATTTCCCGAACACTATTTTTCTATTATTTTCTTTTGCTATCATATTTTATTGACCTACTCGAATTTATATTTTATATATACTATTTATTTGATTTTTTTATTTTTATACCAGATTTTAAATTTTACTTTTTCTAACGCGAAATTATCGGCGCATCATTCCCTAAAAATATGCGACTATCTGCCTGTTAAACATATCAACAGAATTTCACAAATATTTCCAATACCATACGGCCATCGTCTGGGCCAATTATCAAAACAACAGTTTCCATTCACTCCTTATTCACAATAACCCACAAATCCAATTTATTACATATTACACATAACATTATATCCATCTAAGACTACCTTAAATTACATCACAATAAAAATTATAACGCATTAACTCTCACATTTACCAATGAATTACTACAAAATAATAAAGAATTATTTCAATTATCTTAACATTTTCTAACATTAACTTAGCTTAGATTAATTAAATTCAAATAATAAAATAATTTCATTTATCTAAATAATTATCATCTTAATACTAATCTTAATTAACTATTTTTTCATTATCTAATTAACATTACATTAAACACAATATAAATCGATTCATTAATTCTACTAATAGCTTAACTAAATACATTAACTAAATTAACAGTTATTAATTAAATTATTGCCTAAGAATCGAAAATTCTTACGCGGTCGGGTATAAAAAGCAGTAACTGCCGCGGTGGTCGAACTCGGACTAGGCAGTGGCGGAGAGAGGTGCGAACGCCGATCGGCGTGCTGGAAGACGGCAGAGCTGCCTGTGACGCCGGCGGAGCGCCCGTCTGTAGTGGCAGCGACGGCTTGCAGGCCTGGTTGTGCTGCTAGTATAGGCGCGACAGAGAGAACAGCAACGCGATCTGGACGGAGACGAGGGCTGCTGCGTTGCCGAGCTGCAGTAGGGGCGGTGGCCGAAGTGGCAGTGGCGCGCGCTCTGCTGCGTTTGCCTCTGTCTCTCGCCCATAGACGCAGGCCACAAGGACGAAAAAGAAGAAAAAAGGAGAGAAAGGGAGGAGGAGAAGAAGAGAAGAAGGAGAGAAACAGAAGAGAAGAAGGGAGGACGCGGACGGTGGCGCTGTGGTGACAGTGGCGATGGTGGAGTGCTGCTGGTGGAGGGGGAGTGGAGTATTAGCGTTGGAGATAGGGAAAGAGAAATTTCCTAGAATGGTTTAGGTCGACCGGTTCGTCGGTTCGATTCGGCCATATCGATTTTTTAACTGGTTTTCAAAATTTATTTCAATCGGTTTTTTGGTTCGGTTTCTCTAGTGTTGCACCTAGAAATATTAATACATTAATATTCCGGTGTGGTGTTGCACTAAAATATTAATATTAATTTCCAGGCTGTCGGTTCATTAAATTTAATTGGAAAAATTTTGAAAATAAAAATTCGGGTTATTTCATTAATATTACCAAAAAAATTGAAATGAAGATGACATTATAATATGATATTAAAAAATAAATAAATAAAATATTAATGATAGATAATAATAAAAATAATATTATTATTTAATTTATTACTTTTGAAACAATATTAATGATATCTTTAATTTTATTAGTGATAAAAAAAAAGAAACTGACTGATTTTATTACTTATTAAAAATAGAAATAGAAAGTGATTAAAATATTAATGATTTTTGTAATAGCAGTTAATACAGTACAATTAAACATTGATTTTTGTAATCATAAAATAGCTTTTAATAGAAGTAGACGTATGCCTAATCATATGCTTATTTATTTATCCTTTCTTCCCTTGAATAATTATGGTCAAGAGTTAAAAGATGACTCCTAACTAACTATGGTCTGGGAAAGACCCAAAGAGCAGGCTGAATCTTGTGGAGCTCAAAAGGATGAAGGGATGAGATGCTGAAATCCTCTAGACTATAAACCCCAATGTCATAACCCCTGTAAGGCTTCCCTTTATACATATACATACCAGGTGGATCATTACTGAAGTAGATACAGTTTGGCCTTAATCCTGGATAGTCTCTTGCTGATAAACAAAATGACTCGTTGGCGCCAAGAAACAGGACATCGTCACCTAGATGATTCACGGGTTCTAAAGTCTGCTTTTCAACATCTAACTTTCTGAGATCAAACCATATAGTCTTACAAGAAGAGGAACTGCGGATATCCATAGACTCAGGATAAAACAAGGACCCATCTTCTTGAATACTAGATTGATATCTAATCACTATAAGAAAATCCCCTTCTGGCAATTCAACCAAGTACCGGCAGCGTTCATACTCCACTCTTGAAATCTCTTCTGGGTGCTCTAATGAAGGATGCATATAAGTATATTTTATGACTTTACTTATTGGTAAAGATGGGTCCCTGAGATCCCATGCTTGAACGTTCCCAATGACAGTGATGGCGTAGAACAATTGGCGTTTGCTAGAATATATAATGTCATGAAAAGGAATAACAAATTGATTACCTAAAGCAGTCCAAGAGGAGTCTCCAATCCTACAGAAGGCAAGATCGGAGTGGTGATTATAGATAATCATAGCGGTGCAATTATCCTCATTGGGAGGGGATGAAATAGCAATCTTATGGACATCGAGTGGGAGCAGAAGTTCTTTATCTGTATTAAAATGCAGCTGTAATTTTCTATGGAAAATTTGCTTCAATTTTCTATTGGACATAAACGTACTGTAATCATCCATCGTTTCAAAACGCATCCGTTGTGGCTGCGTTTCGACATAAGGAAGTGGTACAGTTTCAGGACAAACGCTGGAAGAGAGAACGTTGGCTAAACAAAATCCACTGCGACGATGATCGACAAAACCCAACCAGCCGCGCGAAGAACCTACACATTGCGCTTCAGAAATCGATTCTCGACAGGATTGAAGAGAGGGAAAGTCACCAGTTTTTGATTTCTAGCGGTGTTTCCTTTGGGAGATTTCTCAGGAGGAAGCAGTAACAATGGTGATGGCAAGGAAATTTCTGAAGTAGAAAACTTTCTGTATGTAAGTGGGGATGATTTTAGATTTGAAAGACAAGAAAAGTTTAAATCCTTTTTAAGGTTTCGAAGAATAATCGGTGGCAGTATCATATTGGCCCCTTTGGAAGAAAAACAATGGAGACTCTGAAAAGTGTCTATCAGAAGTAATATAGTTTTTATGGGTGAAGAATAAATTTATATGAGAAGGACTTAGTCTATATATACAGTAGTAATAGGATTTGTAGTTCCAATCAAATTAGGAAAGATGAGAACAGGTTTATGGCTGAAGAATAAAATTATATGTTATATATATTATATGAATAAATTATATGTTATATAATATTATATATATATTATATATAGTTGCAAAATTTTTTGATATATATATAGTTGCAAAATTTTTTGGAATTTAGGGTTTCTTAGTGTTTTACTTAGTAACTGTTTCTGGCATTGTTGTTTTGGCTTAGATGCCTCTATCGATGGGATATTATTCTAGCCACCTATTTAATAATACTCCAATATCTCAATTATCTATAATAACACTAACACTTAGATATTTAAAAATCAACAACATAAAAGTAATTGGTTTGAGACGAAAAAAAAAAGCATCTATAACAAATCAAGAAAAATCACACCAGAAGCATTCCCCCGAATTGGGAAGTATTGAATTGGGAAGTATCATCCTTATATCATGGGCAAAATAACCAATGATTGATCCATTAAATAATAATGAAATTTCCATGCAACTTAAAGATTGTTAATCATTATAACAAATCATATGGAACTCATTCTTTAGAATTAACAAGTCTCCATTTGCACTAATTAGGCCATTCAAACTTGTTTTAAATATTGGCTTCACAAGAGGTTTTATTTGCAAGGAGAAATTGATGGAAATTTCAATAATTTAATTAAATTGATATTACCTATAATTCCTCAAGTTATTGCTAATGCATGTTATTAACGGTTTTAGAAATTTTTTTAAAAAAATTATCCACTTTTGGAAAATGAAGAAAAATTTTAATGAATAAAACCTAAAATAAACATAGAATATAAAAATTAGTTAGAAGATCCTATTTCTATATAAACAAAGTGACACGCTATCATAGATTTTAGCTGATGAGAACAATGTAAGAATAGGTTTAACAATTTTTCTTTTTGCTCTCGTGAAAAACTAAATTAAAATAGAGACATTAAACTTGGCAGAAAAAGTTTAGAACTTGATTAAAAAAATAAAATATTAGAATGGAAAAAATTATTGGAATTAGCTCTTATTTCGAGCTCTCTTAAATAGAATGTGTTTGTAATAAAAAGAAAAAGCTATTTGTATTAATAATTCCTCAAATAAATAGAAAAAATATATATAATCCTGCCTAAATAATAAAACCAAGTTAAATTCTAAATGAGAAATATATTCGACGTAATTTTTTTTTACATCATGACAAGAAAAGTAAAAATACTTGTAGGTAAAGATTGAAAAAAAAAAACGAATAACTAATAATTATTTTCTATGTTTAGAAAACAAAAATGCAATTCAAAATCATCACTCACTTGTCAATCTTGCAAAAAGCAATCAACTCCACTAATATCATTGGACGACATTCGATGAACCTGAAATTTTCAATATTAGATCATAAAAATAACTAAACAATTTGACAATTCTTCTAACATTTCCCCAATCCGATTTAGTTGGAACTTATGACTAGATTTGCATCACAAAGATAAATGCTACAAGATGGATAATGCATATCATATCTATCCAAAGCAGACTGAAATTTCTATATAGAATCTAGCATTAAAAAACAGGAGTTCCACCTTTTTGGCACATTTAAATAAAATAACTTATCTTTATTAATTTTTCGTTTTATTTTAATATTGATTAAAAAGCACAAAATATCTTAATTTTTGAGTACTAATCTGATTAATTCATGTACATGTGATTTTTTTTCGACTAATTGCACCATAATCAAAAAACCATATTGACATTTATAATTAACCAATCCAAATCGATATTAATTTATTATCAACCAAACCAAATTGAAATTGGTTGGTCCGGTTCAGATTTTCAGTTATAACTGCGATTTGCTAACCCACGCCGCATGGCTATTCATATTTAGAACAAGAAGCTCGGTGCAAGAATTAAGTTTGGCAGTATACATTCTTTTCTTTTCAGTTTTCTCTTCCAAGCAACGAGTTAGTTTGTATGAGACTCAAATTTAGAAACTCAAATTTAGAAAAATTTTTTTGTCATTTTTATTATTATTTGAGAAATCACTTAGAACTTAGAGGTAACAAATGAATTCCAACCTTTTCACAATTACAGTTCACTGCGCCTGCTCCTCTCCTTTGAGTCGAGTGAGTTTTGATCGAATAAGTTATAATCATTCTTTAAACTACAATATATAATATTTTTTAGATTATATATATAATTTTTCTTATTCTTGAAAAATTAATTAATGAGGAGAAGGCATACATGGATGTGGATTGAAACACGTAAGAGAAAACTAATCCAAGCCTTGAAAGGCAAGTGCTGGTGGCATATTGTTCGAGACCAGCAGGCATGTCCTAGAGAGTACAGATGAGAGTACTATCTTATATTATATATACATCGATCTATTGGTTGGTTTTGCAATGTGACATTTCACTTGTTGTTTCAGTGTCACGTTCATGTTGTCTGGTGGTCATATTTGCTTTCAACCATCTAATAATTTGACAACGATTGTTGCGTTAACTACTCATCTATATTTAGCTAGTGGGGATTGATTTACCTAGTCATCTATATATATTTTTTTTTTCTGAAACTCAAAGGAATTGCCGGGCCTGCACAAGCGGTGCTGCATGTGGTTTAATTCGATACAAGACGCAAAACCTTACCAGCCGACCTTTCAAAACCCTATCCTCACCATATCACCATCGTTGTTCTGTTGATGGAAATTAAGGCTATAAGATCTACACTTGTCATTGTCGTCATGATCATCAATGAAGTTCTTCAAGAAAAAGCCATCAGGCATCAGGAAGTCCCATTCAAACGAGTCAAGTTAGATGAGTTGAGCCTAAGTCTAATGAATTTGAACTCTAATCTTATTTTTGATTCAATTCTAAAAAATAAAAATAAATAATGGCTCATTTTCATGCTCAATTTCGAATTTATTCCACATTGAGATTAGGAATGAGAGTATTTTTGAAATAAAAAAGAATTAAGTTTCACCGTTTGATTAAAAAAAATCCATTTTGATTAGTGAAATACTGTTTCGATCCAAATGAAAGTATTATTTCAATAACAAAATTAAAGCCAATTGACTATTTAATTTATTTCAAAAAAATAGACTGATAAATCGTGTGAAACATTAAGAATTAAATAATAAAATTTTCATATAGAAAGTAATTTACTGTTTGTTTCTGGAAAATAACATATGTTTAAAAAATATTTTTCGAAAACAAGAGGGAACCTAATTCTATAAATATTTTCAGTTATCATGTAATTAAATGTTTTAAGAAACTAATAGGGCAAGTGGTTAGTATCCATTGCTATTATCATTTTCTTCTTTAATCCTTTTTTTTTTTTTTTTAAGAGATTTTTACTTGCCTAATGAGCCCTCAAATATACTTCGTTTTCCCAAACAAATAGTGGGCTGGCCCATCTAGGCCCAAAACTCCGGCAGCCATGGCCGAGTTGGTAGTAAAGTTTTTGGTGCACTTATTTCTCTGTCCTCAGAATGAAGCAAAAAGTTAGTCAAATGTATCCTCCCAGTGGATAAGAGTTGCCTCCTGCTGCTTTGAGTTAGCGGTGCTGAGCATTGTTGCGTTTGCATACTATCACCTCCTCAAATTAGGGGCTGAATCTGCCCATTTCAGTTGGAGAAAAATACCCCACTCCTTTAATTTACAAGCGCGTAACACTATAAAACTCCAAGAACTAATGCCTATCCTTTTTAAGTTTTTGATTACTGGACCCATTGCCTCTCTCTCCTCCGGCCATTGGATGCATGAATTCCCTAATCAAAATGCTCTTATATAATTTATTAATTTACTTCTATTAAAGAAAGTTACGCATTGGAAATAAACTGCATTTTCAAGTGAATTTTATTTCTGCAGTAAAAGATTTAAAATTTAAAGTCCCTACTGTCGAAAATATTTTATTGAGTATCATCTACAATCCAAGCGCGAAGAAACATGTGTCTTGGCAAAAAAAGAAGAAAATATATTGTATATAACCTTCAATCTATATATATATATATAACAATCACTTCACAACCGTTCATTATCATCGTCTAAGTTGAAATGAACTGCTTTTTCAGATGAATTTATCTTTAAAGTTAGAGGTTTAACACTTTGAGTTGTTACTGTTGAAAATATTTTATTTGAATATCACTTTTGACTCGAGCGTGAAGACACGTATAGAGTAAAAAAAAAGATGAAAATGTACAGTATATATCTTTCATTTATGATATATATATAATAACAATCGACTTCACAAATCATTCGCTAAGTTGAAATTAACATCACTTAAAATTGATTTTATATATAATATATAAAATCAATCATTGCCATTATAGAAACTGAAGGGGTGTCATTTTCTAGGGTTATATCACTATCAAACACGAATTTTAACATCAAAAAGATCTAGAATCCTCGATGAAGAGATAGTCTACCTAGCATTTTTCATTCACATGAAGTGGCTAAGACAATCCTAATGTCATCTTCTATATGTCCTTACCAATAACTTTTTTCATCTTTAAAATGATTATGAAGATACCAATATTACATATATTTATTTTTACATTAATAATTAAAAAGGTGTATACCATTATGAAATATTATAGACAAAAGTACAAGATTACATTAATAAGGACTTTATGTTTTATGTTCTATATATTTTTTATTCAATTTCCATAAGCAGATAAGGTATACAATTGTGGAGTTTCCTTTTTGCATGCATGTTTCCTAATTTAAGAAGAAAATATAAATAAATAAATATGAATCTAATAATTTTATAAGTCAAAGGGGCCATGCTGAGTGAAAAGAAGAAGCTCCTCCATACCCTTCACTTTCCATCCTCTCCATATCTTGTATTTCATATGCATTTGTCCCCTAAAGCATAATTATACAATATCAGAAATTAATTTCATTAGTAATGAACATTAGTTGAATATAGATTAATGACATCATCATCATCATGCCAAGAAAGTTTAATTAAATATTATCTTGACATGCATGTACTTGTACAATAAAACAAAAGGGATAATTTAATAATTGGATTATTAAAATATAAATATTTATTAACAAAAACAAATAATGACACCCAAAAAAAAAAAAAATAAAGCAACAAAAATCAGATGAATTAATAATTACCTGTATGGTTTCCATATTGTCCCTCTCCAAGTTGAAGTCATAGTACATGCTAGCTGCTGAAAGCTTCATGGACAGAAACTAGAAAACAATATATATACACATTTACAGAAAGCAAAAAAAATAAAAAATAAAAAAGCGAAGAATTTAATTTTCTTGTAAATGGATAAAATATAGTAATTAGAATTTTATGGTTTATAACTCACTTCAATCTGATTCTGGAGTGACTGAACATAATTAATAATTACATCCAACATTACTGCCATTCCCATTGTCTGCAAATAATATATGATATTTAATCATTTAATTATATGCATTTAAAATAAAATTAATTACAATTTTCAAATAAAAAAATTATCACACCATGCACGTCTCATATGCACAAAAAACAAGAACATGTAGAGATTTAATTATTTAACTACTTCGTACAATTGTAATTACCTTGTAACATCCTGGAACCAGATCCTGTAAGCTCCTCAGTTTCTCATTGATTTTCTCTCTTCTTACCTATAACAAATTAAAACAGAAAAGATATAATATTTTTCTCTTAAAAATGTCAAATTTAATTAAGCTGATTTACAACTTTACTATTGCTTAATCATTGTTTTTCCCCCTCCAAATTAACCCAAGTGAGTGTTTATAAGCTCCATGGAAGTTACTTAGTTATTTTTGCATGAATATATAAATTAAATATGTTTAATATTCATAATATATTGTACCCTTTCTGCCAAACTGTGACTATCAGTAGCTTGGCCTCGCTTTGCTCTGACATGAATCACTTCTTTTGGTTTCTCCATATCTTTTATCTCATCCTTTCTCTTTCTTTTTCTACCTCCACAGCTCTGCAACTACCACATTAGTAATAATGTATTATGATGCAATACGCACCGTTTAGTATAGACATATCGATTTCTTACGTTAGTGATAACATTTTGATTATTTCCGGTAAGCCCAGTTGCAGAAAGAGCAGGAGGAGACATGTTGGCCAAGCTCTGGACAGTACTGGCAAAATCAATAGGAAGTTGATGATTGTGGGAGAAAGCCATGAATTCTTGATCATGATCAGTTGATGGGTTGATTATTTTTTGTGAGAAAGAAGAAGGGTTAAGGTTTTGTAGGTCCCTAATGAACTCATTAGCCATCTTGAATGCATGTGAAGATAAAGAATAGCACTTGAAAGTGCAATATTTATAAATGAATTCTAGCTATATATAGGGACCTACAATACATACCCTCAGTGCATATTTGGTAGACAGGAGTGAGAAATAATGTAATGTTGTAATAATATGAATTATTACATTATTTATTATGTTTAGTATTGTTTTTTTACTTATTTACTTGTTTTTTTAAATGACTTAATTACATGTTACTATTGTTTTTTCTTTTTAGAAAAAAAAAAAACCTATATTATTCATATAAGCCAAGAAGCTGTAATTACACATAACTATAATTAATAATATAAAAAGCTATCTCAGAATTAATTAAACATTATGAGTTCAAACTGTAATTCAATAATAATAATAATAATAATAATAATAATAATAATGCATCAAAAGGTTCTTTTATTTTCCTGAAAATAGAATTCAATATATGCACCACAATAGCAAGGTAACTAAATAAATTACGATCATAAAAAGGTAATAGAATAAAATATAAAATAATAATTCAATAAAAATATTTTAAATTATTTAATTTATATTCGATTTAAAGTTAATTATTTAGATCATCAAATTAAATGACATGACAAGAAATTTTAAAGACATTTAAAAAAAAAAAAAAAGGGGGGGTGATCAGTGAAAGAAATTTAAGACCATTTAAAAAAAAAAAAAGGGGGGGACAGCAGTGGTAAATGCTTTGTTGGATTCAGACTTATGCTTTTTTTATTAAACTGTACAACGATAATAATTCAGCAAGCAAAACCTTTAAAAAAAAAAAAAAAGGGGGGGACAGCAGCTGGTATAGTCTTTGTTGGATTCAACTTATGCTTTTTTTTATTAATCTTGTACAAATAACTAATTCAAGCAAGCAAAACCTTAATAACTGTTTTGAAGTTAATTAATTAATAAACAAAAATTAAAAATTCAATTAAATAAAGATCATGAAAATTTAAGCATATAATATTAAAATATATAAGTTTGATTTTCTTTTAACAACTAAAATTTGTAATCACAATTTCACAATGTATATTAAAGCTAAGTTGATTGGTATTGTATTTGAAATGACTAGTTGTCCATGATTTAAAGATGGCAAAATTGGATAAGCAATTGATGGGCTTGACATATGCATATCAACAATTCTTGGAAATGACATTATTCCTTATTTTCCTATTTTTCAAGCTTGGTTGTGATTCTCCAGTCTGCTTCTGTATGCCCCAAAACTAATGACTAATCTACATCTATTCACTTATTATTTGTTCTTCTTTTTTCACTATCTATATATATTATGTTCTCTTCACCAGAGAACAGTTGTGAAGAAAATGGATTGAATCTTGTTTCAATTTCTCCATCTTTTTTTTTTATATATATAAAAGAAAATGTTTTTTCTTTATTAATATATTCTAAACGGGAGTTAGTCTAAGTAGAAAAAACACAGATTCATTAAGCAAGAGATTCGATCCTGGAAAAAATCATCATTAGAGCATTTTCCTCTTTTGAGCCTGATGCTAAGGACACGTGTATAAAAAAAAAATAATAAAAAAACTTTGACATACTTTTAACCACTTTGTCTCTCCTTAATTTTCGTATCATCTTCTTTTAATTGATTATATATTATTTTGCGCCCCTAACTTAAAATCTTGGCTCTACCCTTGATTTCAAGACGGACTTTCCAATATCACTAAACATGATTATTGAATAAGAATCTCAAACTCAAAATCCTTAACTCCCTACCAAATGGGATACTAATCAAATTGCTAATCGATAGAGCTTTCATTTTCCACTTGAACTCTAATCTATGTCATCAAATTGCTAACCCTTTTAGGGATGGCTCATAGGTATAGAGAGTTGTTAAAATATTGACCCCAAAACGGTAAAACTTCCTAATTTGGGATTTTAATCCCTAAGTTGCAATTTGCACGTTGCAATTATTTTGACATTCAAAACCCCAAACTAGGTATGTTGACAAGTTCACTTCTGCTAACACCAAATCGCTAAAAGCTGCTCCATATGAGTCTAGCTTGGAAATATGCGTGTGAGATTGGTTTATAGCTTAGAATAGTACAAAAATTAAACAAATTTATGAAAAGAATCTTCAATGTAATGGGGCTATGATTTCGATGTCTTCTAATGTTTGAAAATTATTTTTAAATTAATATTTCAAAATTATTTATGCCAAACATCCTAAAACTGTAGCAACCATAAGGTTGTTATATGGTTGAGTAGGTTGATGATTAAATTGAGACTCTCACCATCTTCATAAAAGAAGTGTTCAATAATTCTTTTTATGCCAGACTATTGGTTAGGTTAATTAATAGGGTTTTTTTTTTAATTTCAAATATATGAGAATTCTTAAAAAGGAAATTATTATTTGAACTTGTATTTTTACATTATGTTAGTCAATAACTTATGGGTAACTTTTAGCGTTTTGATCAAATCAAAATTCTATCTCTATTAATTACATTGTTCGATAATATAGCTTTTATAATAACCTTTAGAGGTTGAACAAATTTTTTTATGACATGTTAATTATTCTAGCTTTTAACGTTTAACAAAAGTAATTAAATTTGTCTAACCAATTTCTTTTCTCAAAATTCAGCAAATTAAACTACTAATGTTTTTTTTCATTTTAAATTAAACAATTATTTTTACCAAATACTTTTAATTTAAACCGGTATATAAATAATTGCCAACTAATAGCTAATAGCTAACAGCTAATATTGTTGAACATAACCTGTGACATTTTGGGTCTATTCGGTAAAATTAACTATTTTGATGATTGTTAGCTGTTTTCTGTTTTAGTAACATTTAGTCGTTGGTTGTTTGAGTAATGTTTCATAAAACACTAAAAACTAAATGTTACATGATTTAACTTTTTATAAAACGATAATTCAACCTCTAAAAATTAGTTCAAACAGTATGTTACCTAACATTATAGAAAATAACTTTTAGCATTTTGACTGGCTACTTAAAATGTTGTTGCAAACATAGCCTTTATGGTATTATAAAATAAATCTTTGATTTTTGAAAAACTAATTAAATGGGGTGCCTAATTTGATCTTCTTATTTTATATTATATTTATTTTGAATATTTTAATAAAATCATCAAAATATAACGAAAAAAGAATTGTGATTCTGATTTCACTTATAATTGAAGGGAGAAGGAAAAATAAAATAAACCATAAACCTAACCCCAATTCCTTAGCCTCAGAATATTCTTATCCTTTGTATCAAAATTAACAAATTATAACAGCGACAACTAAACTAACAGCATGGAGTTCAAGCTGAAGAATGAGGAGAGGAATTGTCACTAAAACTACCAAAGCCAGCAGGATATGCGTATTGTGTTGAGAGAAATCAGCAAGCCCGTTTGCAATGTTCACTCATAGCCCATCAATTTTGGCATTTTAAACCTAAGATCTCTTATGGGGTTTTTAATAGATTTGGACCATTACCTCTTGTTTGTCATTCACTCACTCAGCTACAAATAAAATGTGAAGCCCAGTGTATATATGATGGCAAACAACACCTTCACTTTTCCGTAGGACTATCAAATTAGTAGGAACTCTAGTGTCGAGAGGTCTCGAAACTCCAGCAATTTTTGACACTAGGTTGACCTTTTTCTTTTTTCTTTTTTTATAACTTATAAATGATGTCAAAATTCATTAATTATACAAAATTTGTCGTACATAACTTCTCAGAGTCTTCAAGCGTGTATATATATGTATGCATGCCAATTCCCACAACAAAAGGAAAAAAAACTGCTCTCAGAAAATAAAAAAATTTCCAATCACTTAAAGATGCCCTCACGCAGGATCGAACTACGGACCTTCAGTTTACAAGACTGACGCTCTACCACTGAGCTATAAGGGCTAATTAGTATGTTTTATAATTTAATATTCATCGAATCTTGTTCCTAGGTGACATTTCAATACAATTTTATTCCAAGAATATTCTCAAAATTAAAAACCTAAACTAATTTTGCAAGCTATGAAACAAAAACTTGATCATTGACCTATTATCTCAATGATCCATAATATCTTTCTTTCGGTAAAAAATATATATATGGAAGCCAATTATTAATTATTTATATATTACTATATTAGTTCGAATTCAAACCACAGCTACTTGTTTCCGTTATATCATAACGGAAAAATATACATATTGAATATAATATATTTGTCTCCTGAAGTCAATACTAACTTGTAGGCATATGCATGTTATATCCACAAACACACTACCTGATACTATGAATTCGTCTTTGCTGTGCAAGGTCAATTTGGTGGAGCATGCAAAAACAGAAACTAACAGGAAAATTAATACATTAACTGTCAATTTACTTATCACCGTAATTAGCGATAGAAAGATAGAAGAGACTTTTGACTAAACTCATAAAACTGTCATTATTTAAGTTATTACAGCTTACATCACTCAATTTCCATGATTTCATAATTCAGAATTTTCCAAGAAATTCATTTCAAGTAATATTTCCTTGCCCATATATTTGCAAGGGATGCCTATCCTAGATAGCCTTCAAAACCCCTATATCTTAATCCTTATGGGTGAGATTGCCCTTAATGAAATTTCGATAATCTATAATCGATTAAGTCAGAATTTTGAAATTTCCAACTCTCAAAAATGAAAAATCACAATCTAAAAATAACTTTATTCACTCATTAAAATTTGAAATTTATAAAGAAAAAATAATATTACGTAAAGGATTAAGTTGATGTGAGTCTACATTAATAATTGTGTTTTCTGGAATTGATGCGAACTTGCAACAGGTGCGACTTTCTCCATAACAATCAAGAAGACGGGATCGTTTCACTACAACGGAGGCTGCCGATGGTGAAGACTAAGTCGGTCGTCCGATCATAGACGAGAGAGAGCTTCTTTGACCATATTCTAATCGAAAATCAGATAGGGAAAGGGAAGGGAAAAAATCAAGGAGAGAGAAACTGGAAAATAATTTGAGTTTGATTGCATCTTTCTCTCTTCCCAGTCAATGGATACTATTAACTTGGTTCAATTAATAGTTCGATCAATGATTTGATTAATGATTGCGTCTTCATCCTTTTCTAATGAAGGGTATTTTTACTTTTTCTTTGAGCATTTAACATGGATGGAATAATAGAATAGTTTGATGGAAGTAAAATTTAAAAATATATTAATATATTTTCTAAAATACGAATTATGCCGGTTAATTTTAATATTTTATAAAGACAAAAATATAATTTTTTTTAGAATGTAAATATTTATTGTAGGGTCAGCACTCATATAAGATAATACATACAATGCATAATAACAAAACTTGTCCCATTATTATTTTAAAAAAAATAATATTTATTTAATGAGATGAATTAAAAGTCAATCTAATCACGCATGCGTGCACATACATAACATTTCTTTTTTTTTTTTTCACACATTTCATGATACACATCTTAGTCGCAATAACGACAAGAATATATAGTATGAATTTACAAGAAACATTTCCATTCAAATCAAAGCTTTACCCAATGCGCGAATCACATGAGAAAGCTTTAGCATTTACATTTAAAAATGGAAAAATGATAAAGGCATCTCTTCCACTAGTAGAAGAACAGGTACACTGAAAATGGAAACCTCTATCCTCTATTCATAAATCCTCTTTAAATTGCAAGTACAAAACCCCAGCTTTCTGCTTCAATTATTGATTCTTGTATACTCTTCTTTATTTTTACAATCTTTTCACACTTTTAACTCTGGCCTCCACTATGACTTCCTCTACATTTAAATCTACCTCTTGGCCTCCTTGTACCATTTTTATCCTAAAGTTCCCTACTTTTTTGGTTTTATTCTTTAAATTTTGAAATCTTGAATTGTATCCTTATGAAAATGAAAGGAATTTGTCTTGTATTCGAGATTCATTAATCTAATTATTCTGAATTTACACCGGACAGGTTTATAAAGGAGTCAAATTACTCATTTCCGAGTGTTTAAAGAAATCTCATATCTAGAGTTTGAACTCGAGATCCTTGGTTAATGGAGACGGAATTTTTATCACCTCATTTCATCCAATGAGAGTTCAAGTTTCCTACTTTATCACTAGTAATTTTGTTTTGGTTTTTTTTTTTTAAAAAAAAAAAAAAGAAAAAAGAGAATGAAAATCCTTTTTTTTCTCATTTGGCCGGTTTAATCTTGTCAATGTTGGAGCCCATAGGAGGGATAAGCATGTGCAGGGTGTTGAACGCTAGGATGGGGACACAACACACCTCTTAGGGTTGTAGAAAGTGTCATTATGCCATTGGTCTATGTATCTTATCATTTTGACCATACTCATTTGATGTGGAAATGAATTATTCAAATATAATTAAATTTAAATTATTAATTTCAAATATTATTTGTATTGATAAGTACATTTACTCATATTCTTATTAATTAGGATTTAATTTTGTCCAAAATAAGTACATTTTCTTACTTATAAATCACAAAATCCTTAACATTGATAGGAACATTCTTTTTAATATATTTAATTTGACATATAAATTGATCTATACAATCGCCTTAGAGTAAGGTTAATTTGTAATCAATAAATATTTTTTTTCTTATTATCCATAGACTAATTTTCAAGTTAATATGGAACCATCAACTCTAACTTAATTAGGTGTCTCTCTCTTTTCCGCATAACCTAAAAGTTTTCACCGACGGCCACCTATTTCCTTTTTTTTTTTTTTTCAAATAATCATCAAATTTGTATTAAAGATAAAGATCTTCTAAGTTATTATAGCCAAAATATTAGAATTTATTATTATTCATATTTTAAAATTTTAATCTTTGATATTTCTGAGTTATAGTTATTATTATTATAGTGATTTTGCCTATAATATTTTGTTATTTAGCCATTTATGCAGAAAGAAATGTAGATTTCATCTCTAATATAAAAAAAAAAATTTTAAGGTCATTAGGCTGGATTTGAAAAAAAAAACTATAGAATCAAATGGTGACCTTGAATAATTACTAAGTGGAGTAAACAGTTGCCTATGATAAATATATTATGTTTTGTCGATTCGACTAAATATTTCAAATCAAGATTGTATTTTTTTATTTTTTTTATATAGTGATTTATTATTAGATTTTTTATAAACATATATACACTCCCTCCGTCTCATTTTGTTTATATTGTTTAACAAAACACGCATATTAAGAATTTAGTCAACAAAAATTATTTAACGAAGGATAATAAAAGTTATCATGAAAAAAATAATTGTTTATGTATATAAATTTTAGAAACCTTATAAACATTTTAAGATATCCAGAAAAAAATAACAAGAAGATAAAATAAGACGGAGAGTATATATATATATATTCATCTATATCTCGTATCAGCATACGTTTTTTCTTTTAATGAAATTTTTATTCTGATTTCTTCTATTAAAAAAAAAAAAAGATTTATATGCGACCCTGGTGGGTGTATTCCTTTAGCTTTGATGGGTCTGAAGAAGCAGAAAAATATATGACTTCCTAAACCAACAAAACAGTCATTTTGAGATAAAAATTTTCGAAATAAAGTTTCAATATTTTTCTTCTCTACTAATTAAGAAACTGAATGATTATTTGTTTAGCTGTGGAAATTACTTATAATATATTTTGTTGAGTCAATCACGTTTCTTAAAGTGCATCAAAAAAGAGAAAATGGGCTAAATAATTGCTCTTGAGGACAAATAAATGGATTTTCTACTTTTTATTATTCTGCTTTTAAATGGAGGCCTAAAAATATAGATATATGTAATGGATTCTCTCTCTAGCTTAGCTTAGCTTAGCTACTCTCTCCATAAATAAAAAATTATGAATACAAGTATCTATATAATTGGTGGGATATAAAGCAATAGGACCCACTTTGTACTTGCATGATCAATGGCTATTTGATTTGCTTCTTTCTTGATTGATGGTTAAAAGAAAAAAAAAAAACATGCCTTTGAATATTCCAACTTCAACAAGTGTCTCATCTCCAAAAAAATAATTTTTTTTTAAAAATAAAAAGTCTCACCTATGAAATTATTTAAATAAAAAATACTCAGATTTTTTAAATAAAAATTTAAATATTTCATACTTATGAGGACGAAGAATGCTTCACTTTATGAGCCTCACGTGTAGCGCGAGCACCAACAAAATTAGATTTAATCTGATAGTTTAAAGTAAATAAGAAAAAAAAAAAAAGAAAGTCTTAACTTAAACAAATGGAATATGTTATTTTGTAGTTGTAGTGATAAGTAAAGAGTAGGACCCATTAAAATTTCAAGTGTGGACCATACCCTAGTATATTAGCTAGTAGCTTTTTTTTTTTTTTTTGCAACTTTTGCAGGCTTAGAACCCATTGCACCTCTTACACGACCAATCCCATCTAAAGAAAATTCCATTTATTTTTGTATATAAAGGAAAGAACATGTGGAGAAAACTCCAATGTTAAGGTTTACTTTTTCTTCTAGTTCTAAAACTTTGAGTTTTCTGGGTCTATAACTCTCTCTCTCTCTCTCTGTTCATTTTATTAGTAAAAAACTACAAGGAAACCTTAAACAAACCAATCCTTTCTCTCTTAGAAATAACCACAAACACATAGTGAGCATTGATGCAGAGTATGAGAGCACCTATGTCTAGTGTTACAAAGAGGATGTGTAATAATATTACTAATAATTCTAGTGAAGAAGAAAGTGAGCTAAGAAGAGGTCCCTGGACTCTTGAAGAAGATACTTTGCTCACTCATTACATTGCTCGCCACGGCGAAGGTCGTTGGAATATGTTAGCAAAATATGCAGGTAATTAATTCATTACCAAATAACTAGAGCTTTTGATTCTGTGATATTCAAGATTTTTTTAATAGAATTTTCAAAGATAATAATAATTAATTAATATTTCACAAAAGGATACATTAATTAATTAGCATTATTATATAATCATGAACCATAAAAAGTTAATTAGTTAATATAATTTTGTTAACTCATTTTTAATATTTGCTTTTCAGGGCTGAAAAGAACTGGAAAAAGTTGCAGATTAAGATGGTTAAATTATCTAAAGCCTGACATTAAGCGTGGCAACCTCACTCCACAAGAACAACTCTTGATTCTTGAATTGCACTCCAAGTGGGGTAACAGGTAACTATTTAATTAATTAAATTATTTAATTATGATGTTAATTAAACTAAAGTGGTAAAAAAGTTTCAAGATTTCTATGTTGTTGTGTTAGGTGGTCAAAAATTGCACAGCATCTGCCTGGAAGAACAGACAATGAAATCAAGAACTATTGGAGAACAAGAGTGCAAAGACAGGCCCGTCAACTAAACATTGAGTCTAACAGCAAGAGGTTTCTTGATGCTGTTAGGTGTTTTTGGATGCCAAGATTGCTTCAAAAAGTAGAGCAAGCCAATTCTTGTTCTTTTTCTCCTTTAAAAACCCTTCAAGATTCAGAAACCCATGAACTTGCAAATTTCACATTACCTGATAATAATTCTTTTCCTCAACAATACCCAATTCTTGAAAATGAAAGCCCTACAAGTGTTTATCATCTTCCCACCATAACTGGTACTACTACTACCAATCCAGATTCCACAGAAATTTCTCAGTACCAACCTGAAATTCTTGAAAACAGAGCAAGTCCTCCTCTTCTTGATGAAAATGTATACAACAATCTAATCATGAATGAGAGTTACTATGACATGGAAGGATTCAATCCAATGCCTGAAATTGGCACTTTTCATGATTCAACAAAAGAATGCCAGATGGAAGAAAGCAATAATTGGGCGTTTGATGATGGCATGGCAGACACTTTATGGAACATGGATGATATATGGCAGTTTAGACTTTAGTGAAAGAGAAAGAGAAGAGGAATCTATCTACAGTTGATCATATATATAGAAGATGATCCAAGCTTAGCTAGGGTGGCTCTGTTATTATGATTAGGGTCCATACACATTATATATAAATTATAATATATATACATCACATTGACTCAGACATCGTACTGATCTACATTGTGTTTTTATTTGTAAGGATGTGCAATGTAACTATCATTTATAAAAACTTAAATTTTGTAGTTCAACAAGGGAGTCTAAATATATGATAAGAAATTAATTATGTAACTTGGTGAACTTGATTTTGATTATTTGAAAGTGTGTCCTTGTTGATGGGTTAATTTCACTCATGTTTCACAATCTAAGGCCTCTGCATTTAATTGTGTCTACACTTCAATTTGTAATTTAAAAATATTTCAAATTTAATGGTTTTTCTACGGCGGAGAATTCAAAAATTTTGTACCTATACCGAACTCTTATTTTGTGCCATTTATCAATGTTAACTTGCTATTGCAAGTAACCAAGACTGTTTAAATTTTTTTTATAATATAATTTCAATTCCATAAATGCATTCTAAATGTTTTAACAATGACATGGTAAAAATTTATAATTATTTATTAAAATTTTAAAAATTTTTTGGGCAAATAAAATTTGATATATTAGGTAATTATTTTATCTTTAAAACTTTTATTAATTTTGTTGAAAAAGAATAGTTTTTTATTTATACAATTAAATAGTAACATGTATATTTAATAGTAAAACCGCTCGAAATGTTTAAGCTGATAGACATAAAAAGATCTAATAGTTAATGTTGTAAATCTTTAAAATGAATATGCACATATAAAACAAACAAATTTCTACTAATAAATTCATTAAAAATTTTTAAAATCTAAACAAATCCAATTTTTCTTTCACCTTATGAGTTAAAATTATTTGTGGAAAAAAATAAAAGTCTATAATTAATCATTAAAGATGACTCATATACAACTGTTTAGGGAAAAAAAGAAAAAAAAAGCAAACTATTTATTAACCATGGTTTAATTTTTATTATTTAAAAGTATTTTCTAAAAAAAATATATAATATGACACCTAGATAGTCTTTTAATTTTTTATATGAGACATATCATGCCATTCAGCAATCCGGTGCTGGAAACTTAACTAAAACGGCTAAAGGTACTTTCATTGTTATAAAATTAAAATTGAAGTATTTTTAAATTATAAATTAAAACGTAGGCATAATTAAATGCGAAAGTTCTAAATTAAGAGAGCACCAACGACATTAACCCGTGTTGATGGCTTTTTTTGTCTTTAATTTCTTGATTTTTCTTATCAATCCATAGATTGAAAAAAAAAAAAAAAAAATTCAACTTTATATTAATAAAATACCAAATTCTTATAACTACATTAACATATGGCAAGGGGGGGGGGGGGGGGGAAAAAAAAAAAAAAAAAAAGGAATTCTGATATAAATTGATTTTTTGATTTTTTGTCTTTAATTTTTTGGCTTTTTTTAGTATTTTTTTAATATATTCACTTTTATATTAATAAAAAAATAGCCAAATTCTTATCAACTACATTAAACATATGGCATGTCTTTGAAACAGTATAATCATGATCATTCTGAAACATGTCAAAAAACTAATTATGATCATCCTGAAACAGTAATATCTTTCAAACCGTATACTTTTCTCACTCATTTTGTTTGTTTTCATTAAATTTTCCATAAAAAATAATAAATTTTCTCCTTGACCTGTAAACCTGAATGGAAACGTCAAAAAAAAAATAAAAATAAAAAAGAGATGACTAGAAAGGCGGCGGTCAGTTCAAAGAAATGATGGATGGAAGTGACCACACATAGGATTAGAGGTGGAGTCATGTCCAAATGTACAACTTCATGGCACACTTGCTATAACATATTTTAATTTTTTTTTTTTTTTTAAATAACAGAAAGGAAAGGATTATTGGAGATAAGAGTTAACAGATATTGATAAAGTTTGTTTAGGTTGTTATGGATAGATAATTTCTGTTGTAACTTATTTTGTAACCATATACTATTTAGTATAGGACTCTTCTTGTATTTAAACATCTCTTCTTTTCTATAGTCTTCTGTATATGGTATCAGAGCACAAAGCTTAAAACGCTTTTTCCAATCCAATCTCTGATTTTCTTTCAATCTCTTTCTTCTTTACTTTGACATGGCTTCAGGTAGCGGCACTGTTGTTCATTCTTCTGAGCATTCTCTTGTAACAATTAATGGTGCACAGCTGCCTCTAAAACTCACTGCTACGAATTATCCAACTTGGAGGGCTCAAATTGTACCGCTGTTGAAAGGACATAGCTTGATGAAATATACTAGGTACGGTACCTGTACTTCTGGCTATGTTGCTAGATAAGGGAGTGTACAGATTTCAAATCAGATTAGAATTTTGGGAAGTGTACCAGATCATTGATCTTGCTGCTATTCGACCTCTTCTTTTTCAGATCATGAAGAATTTTGCAAATGCTGATTCACGTTCTGCTGATGCATGGAGAAGAGCTACAAATGTCCTATGCAATTAGTCTGCACCATGAGTTTAACTCTGCGAGAGAAACTTGCTAGAGACGAAGGAGGAGATCTCAATTCTGTTTCTGAATATTTAACAAAGATTAGAGAGTATGCGAAGAGCTGTGTTGTGGAGGAGTCACTGAAACTGTGTAGATTTGTTGTTCAGGTTTTGTGGTGTCGGATCTGAATTCGGTGCCAAGCAGCGGCAATAATCATGCAGAGACACAATGTAGTTTTTTGAAGAACTACAAGATAAGTTATTAGCTTATGAGATGTTTGAAAGCAGTTAATTCAAATTGTGTTCTTCCTGTACTTGCTAATCAATATTGCAAGACTGCTGCTCGGAAAGGGGATCTAATTCAAGGGAATTTTTATCGTCAGTCTATCATGGAAATTCTCTGGTGAACGTGTTCAGATGTTAGACGCAGTCTCAGTTCCTCTGGATCCGTATAGCTGTTCAATGTCAATTTTGTGATCTTGGGCAATGTGTTTAAAGAATGTTTTAAAGCAAAGGATCTTTGCAATATTGCTAGAAATAGCTCAGCTAAATCTACAGTGTGCAAGTCCCAGAATTCCCAGCATGGTTGAATTGATATCTGCAGCATCGATCATGTCTAATGAATTGAATAGTTAATTCTTTTCTATTGGCCATATGATGAAGCAGATGAGCTACAGTTAACTGATGGTCAGACGTTGTCCATAACTCGAACTGGGTTCTGGTCTTCTTCAAAATGTCTTATATGTGCCCAAAGCAAAATCTAATCTTATTTCTGTTCCTCAGTTCTGTGATTCTAACCAAGTTTCCATTGAATTTTTCTCTCATTTTTATTTTATTAAGGATCAGTTTACGGGGGAGATCCTGTACAAAGGCAACCTTGATCAGTCTTTTTATAAGATTCGCAGTATGGGCTCTTTTGAAAGTCATCATGTTCGATTATCTTCTGTGTCATGGCATCAACGGCTTGGCCAAGTTCGAAAATTCTTCATTCTGTTTTGTCTAAACTTAATATTCCTGTGACTGTTATTAAGGATAGTGTCTGTGATCCTTGTCGCTGTAATAAAAGTCATAGGTTACCTTTTGGAGTATCTTCTTTGGTTAGTAGCAAACCATTAGAACTTGTTTATACTGATTTATGGGGCCCTGCACCAGAACTTTCTTTGGATGAATTTCGATATTATATTATTTTTGTTGATCACTTCACAAAATATATCTGGCTGTATCCATTAAAAATAAAATCTCAGGTTATCGAAATTTTTCCAATCTTTCAAAAGCTTGTAGAAAACACCTTTAACTCCAAAATTCAAACTATATATTCTGATGGTGGGGGAGAGTATGTTGCTCTTAAAAAATATTTTCAACAACAGGGAATCAATCACTTGCAATCTCCTCCTCACACACCTCAACATAATGGTGCGGCTGAACGTCGTCATCGCCATTTAGTTGAAACAGGGCTTACTTTGTTACAAACAGCCTCTTTACCCATGAGTTTTTGGAGTTTTGCTTTTCGTACTGCAGCTTACTTAATAAATCGGTTTTTTACTTATTAATTCCCTCTTAACTAGTCCTCTCCCTTTGGAAATGTTGGTCAACTCCTAATTATACACCTCTTTACGAGTAATTTGGCATGTTTCGTTAGTCCATGTTAGACCATATAGAAAATAAGTTTGATAATACGTCACTCCTTGTGTATTTTTAGGAGTTTTCACCTAAACAAAAGGTGTTTCTTGTTGGTCATATTGAATCTGGAAATTTTTGAAGTCTCGAACAATTGGTTTTGGTTGAAAATAAGTTTCTTTCTGTACAAACAATTCGTCTAAGATTTGTCTGGACTATTGGTATGATTTGCTACTGACATCCAGTTTTTTCTATTGTTCTTATATCTTTCGCCGAATATGTCTGATGGATGAGTCCTATTTCAAGTCTACTGCTCCTGTGCTTTAAGTCCAACACGATGTGGAGTCTTGTGCTCTAGTGTCGACATACTGTCATTCCAACACCTGATATCTAATCGTCTGGTCCACTACGTTGCAAAAATAATATTTTGCAAGCCGAAATGTTTTAAATCGGTTCAAGCATCTTTATTCATTACCAGAACCTAGATTAGTTAAACAGCCTTAAGCTATTCTAATTTGGCGACAAGCAAGTGACATCAAGTTTTATGCTTTGCATAATAATGGTACATGGGAACTTATTTCTTTGCCTCCTGGGAAGAGCACTGTTGGCTGTCGATGGGTTTACACGGTTAAAATTGGACCAGATGGTAAAATTGATAGGTTGAAAGCTAGGCTTGTGGCAAAGGGGTACACAGGTTTATGGCCTTGATTATAGTGATACATTTTCCCTTGTGGCTAAAATGGCCTTTGTTCTTTTTCTTCTTTCTTTGGCAGCTATCTATCAATGGCCTCTTCTTTAACTTGACATCAAAAATGCTTTATTGCATGGGGAATTGACCGAGGAAGTATATGAAGATGTTTATATGCAGCAGCCACCAGGTTTTAAAGATCCAACAAAACCCACACATGTTTGTAAGTTGATTAAAGCACTTTATGGGTTAAAGCAAGCACCACGTGCTTGGTATCAAGCTTTAAGAGCTTTTACTGTTGCCTATGGTTTTCGATTATCGGCATGTGATCATTCCCTCTTTTATTATATTAAAGATGGTGTATATTGTTATTTTCTTGTCTATGTAGATGACATAGTAATTACTGGAAATAACAATGGGTTTGTTTAGAGTTTTGTGCAAGCACTTGGGAAGCGTTTTTCTCTGAAAGATCCACAACCATTGTCATTATTTCTTGGTATGGATGTGCGACAAATAAATGGAGGGATTTCTTAACTCAACATCACTATATTCGGAAATTGCTTGAGCAAGCAAAGATGGATGGTGCGAAGGAGATTTCTACTCCAATGGCTTCAGATATACAGCTCCAAAAATCAAAAAATGAGACTTTACCTGTTGATGCTACTGCCTATCGAAAATTAATTGGAGGATTGCAATATTTAAATCTCACTCGGCCGAACATAGCTTTCACTGTGAACAAATTATCACAGTATATGCAACATCCGAATGCCGACCATTGGCTGGCGTTAAAGAGACTACTCCGGTATCTGAAATCCACAATTTATTATGGAATTTCAATCATGAAGCAAGCCGATTTTGGGTTTCATGCATACTCGGATGCTGATTGGGCAAGCGATCCTTCGGATCGAACATCAACAACCGGATTTATCTTATATCTTGGTAAGGTTCCAATAATATCTTGGGTATGTTCCCAATTAGGTGGGAGCTTCTACAAAAGCAAAGGACAGTTGCTGCGGTCTAGCACAGAAGCTGAATATCGTGCTGGTTAGCAAGTACGAGCATCTAGGTAAAATGGTTACATTCCTTAGCTAAGAGAACTCGGACCAAGAAGTAGACCACCCCTGTTATTTACGTATAATATCTTCCTATTGATAATACATGTAAAGAATCCAGTGTTTCATACCAAAATGAACATTTAGAGATTGTATTCATTTTGTCCGAAGAAATTGGTCCAAAGAGGTGAGATTAGGGGTCACACACATTTCTTCCAAAGCATCAGTTAAGCTGATATTGCTAAACCTAAATCTCGTCTAAGGTAAAGTTTCACAAAAAATCGGGCCAAGTCGGGGAAGCCAGCCAATGGATTCTCTATCTTGCGGGGGAGTAGTATTGGAGATAAGAGGTTAACAGATATGCATAAAGTTTGTGTTAGGTTGTTATATGGATAGGTTTAGGTTGTTATGGATAGATAATTTCTGTTGTAACTTATTTTGTAACCATATACTATTTAGTATAGGACTCTTCTTGTATTTAAACAGCATACTAATGACAATACGATCATCTCTTCTTTTCTATAGTCTTCTGTATAAGGATACCTCTTCTTCTTCCACATCATTTCCAATATGATAATCCATATTTTGAATTGATGTACCTTCTTTAGCTAAGATAAACAAGTGTTTGTAATAGTGGTGTATGAAATGTACACTCCGTAGAGCTTTTCTTGAAACTTTCCTTATATTCACTGTGAGATAAAATAAAATGTCTGTGATCTGGGTAAAATCGATTCAGTATCATGAGATCTTTTTCTATCAGATAAGAAGGGCTGTTGCACAAAATCATTTTGCAATTACAACATCGCATGCATTATATATATATATATATATATATATATGTTAGGGAGCCTGATGAGATAAAAAATAACACTATGAGCTACATAATAAGGAATCATCTCCCTGGGAACTCATTAAATCCCATTGAACTCATTTAAATTAATGAAAATATTTATGATCCGAGAGGAACTCGACGCATTTTATATATATATTATATATATATATATATATATATATATATATATATATATGATATTCCAAATGAAAGCAATTTTTAACTATATTCTTCTTCACGTGTTAGTCAAATTCCCATTTATTGAGATCCAAGATTTCAAATTGAAAGCAATTTATAATATATTCTTCTTCACGTGTTGTCAAATTCCATTTATGAATCAAGATGTCATATAGCACATATATTCAAACTATGTAATGTATAAGAGAAAGTTGAATTGCAGATTTGTTAAAGTCTAATGGATTACAAGCTAAGAAACAAAGAAGACTCCAGCTACTTAATTTGAAGAACAAGAATTAAAATTCAATTTCCATTCAAACTTCTATGTATTGTTCTTATCTTTGATTATTTGTCCCTTCTTTAAAAGTTAAAACTAACCAAATGGTCATCAATTTTAGCACGTTTATATTTATTTCTTCTTTTCTTTTTTTTTTTTTATTACTTTTTCGTCTTTTCCTTTTCAAAATTAAACTTTCTCCAAACTTTATAATGAACATAATTAATCATTAAGAATATATAAATGTCTTTAACCCTTTAAAAATTTTTTGTTCTTAAGGAAATTAAAAGTTTTATTATATTTGGACTTTTACCCACCAAAATATGAAGAATTATGAAAGGAGATGATGAAGCTCAATTGTGAAGACTAATTCAAATTTCTTCAACTAATTCAAGCTAGTGAGATTCACCGATACATAATTAGTAGAGATTGGATAAAATCCTTTCAATAACGGCAAACCCATATTGAAATTACTTATAATGCATACAAAAAAAGAATATACTTAATTTATGTTAATTAATAGGGTAAATTATTATAAAGCCGCGGAAATTTTATTGAAATTATTACATCATCCCTATTATTTGGAGAAATTACTGCGAAATGTTTGACAACCATATAACTTCGAGATCCTTCCATCAAAAAACTACATTTTCTTCTGTTAAATATTTTGGCTATTTAGTCTTTTTACATTTAATATAATGTTACTATTTATTCCCTCATACCAAAAATAACTTCACTGTGTAGTTTTTTATTTATAACATAAAAAGCGACACTTTTTCGACAAAACGACTAAATATTTTAAGTAATAAATAGGGTCAAACATTAAGACCTGCATAGTAATCTATACCTCTTTATAAAACAAATCCATTTGTAAATTGAGTCAATAATTGAAATTTGCAATTCTGAAAATTTGAAAATTATGTTTATTATTATTTTAATAAAAATAAATATACCCGCCTATAATCAATAAGCTATTTGGAAAAGTGCAAATTGAATTGAAGTGTCTAATCATAAACTACTTGATCTCAACTGAACATCACCATGTTATAATCGTGTCAGCTAACTGTATAAGTTGACAAGTGAAAAATACGTCAATGGAATCAACAGAAGCGTGTCCACTGTTCCATCGATCAATTTACACAACAGAACTGTAACTACTAAGGGAAAGACTGTCGGTTTTCTTAAACTAATAATCTTTTGACTAAATATTCAGAGTTTAAATTATTAGGTAGGATATGATTTGGTTTCTTAAACTATGAGTACACTTCATTATGGGATTCATATGTAAGAATCTTTTCTTCCCCTTTAAGCTAATTAAAAACGTTTTCTCTTTATATATACAAATGTTTTACTGCCATGTAGCCAAGAACCTAGGAAGAAGAAGAAGAAGAACTATTTAAAGAATATTAAAAGGTTAAAAAATGACATAATCATATCATTCTACGTACACTGAAAGCTTGCTGATCACTGATCATATCGGATTCCAATACAACTGATCCAAGATTGTATTATTTTTCCTTTTTTTTTTTTTGTTCAGAATTATGAGATTCTATCTTGTTTTTTTTTTTTTTTTGCTAACTCTTGAGGGCATGTTCGATAAACTTAATTGTTTTGGTGACTGTTAGTTATTTTTAGTAGCGTTTAGCTGTTTAAGTAGTTAGTAGTTGTTTAAATAATTTTTCATAAAATGTTAAAAATTAAATGTTACAGGGTTAATCTTTTATAAAACGCTAAAAAGCTAGTTCAAATACTAAATCACCATCAAATATTATGAAAAATAACGTTCAGAATATTGACAAGCTATTTAAAAAATTATTGTCGAACACAACCTTAACATTAAAATGGTTAAAAATTTATATATATGTTTTTTATAATATGATTTTTATTAGGATACCAAGGTATAAATGTAGCCAAGGATCTAGGGAAGGAGAAGAAAGTACAAAGAATAAAATGCTTAAAAAGATGCAATCATATGATTTTATGCTTAATGCATCAAGTTGCACCGCTGCTGGAGGACTATCATGGTTCCAAGCAGCACTATATGCAAGTATCTTATTCTTAAGATGTCTCTATTATATATTATTATTATTATTATTATTCTTGTAAAATCTCCCCCAAGTTAAAAAAATACCTTATCTTGGGAAAAAGTTGCACTTCCATCATGTGACTTAAAGAATTTGCTAAGATACTTATCATTTCAAAATTTCCCATCAAATCACAAACCTTTCACTATCACTCATAAAGCGTGAAGAGACTAAACTCTCATGATAGAGGCCTTTGTTTCCAAGACTGGCAAGAGTTCCTGACCTCCCTTATTGGTCCTTTAAGCCCCTTAAATTCTAGGGCCACCCCACTTTAGCCTTCTCTCTCTCTCTCTCTCTCTCTCTCTCTTCCAACACAAAACAGCAAATAAGAGAAGAAAATTTCTAAGTTTATGGTTCATGAACTATGGCCTATTCAATGATGGTAGGTCCAATGAAGTGAAAGGCACCTTCTCATTTGCTTAAAACAACCATTTGTCCTCTAAATAACCTCCATAGTACATGCTTCTTCAATAGGTTATGGATAAGAATATGCCTCCAAAATTTTACCTACCTTTCTCTTGACCCCATAGAAAGGTTTAATAATTAGCTTGATTCCAAAGACTAAAATCTTTAATCATCTTGATTGGAAACGCTAATAACTAGCTAATTATTGCAAGTAAAATTATCTTTTTAATTACTTTTTCAAGAGGAGAGAAGAAATTTTAAGTTCAATTTTTTTTTCCCACGTGTTTTTGTCGTTTGAATGAAGACAATTTAAGTAAAATCCTTTTAATAGTGAAGGTTTTAGGTTTCGAATTATTGATCTTGCAAGTAAATTTTTTCTTTTATGGAGATATTATATTGTATAATAGTGAAAGTCAAGCAACTTACAAATATAACACAACTATAAATTACAATGCAAAGTCAATTGAAGGGCAGCCCTTAATGGGCAGAATTACAATTACTTTGACCACCAGGACCAAGCTTCATTGCCCCTTGCAAGAGAAGTTGAAATCTTTGGATATTGGTAAGAAATGCACCAAATAGGTTTAGTATGAATTTGAAAGAGACATGTTTTTTCAAAATTCAATTACTTTACAGCTCAAAATTAGCTGTTTGTTTAACTTAATTCTCATCCGTTATATGAAACTCGGTGCAAACAAGCTAAAGAGTCAACACGGAAGGGAAGGATTCGAACGAAGCCCATAATGAAGAAATACCTACGCATAGCTAAAATCAAGTTCATACCTTAATTTCAAGATCTTCTCTCCCTAGTAGTTCAGACAAAATCTAACTTTCCAAATTGCCAACAACATAAATCAAACGGTGTTAGCATCACTATCCTATAAGCGTCTGAAGCTATAGCTATTGCTTCAAGTCGAAGCACTGAAAGGAAAAAGAAGAAAAAAGAAAGAATAAACCTAAATGTGATTGAAATAGAGGATTATGAGATGTTGCTAGCATTTGCATGAACAAATTATCACAGCACAAACTTTAAGTAACGAATATGGTTCATTATAGGACTGTAAATCAATTAAGCTACTTGTGAGTAGCTTAGACTTGCGAATAGAATTCATTCTATGAATTTTATCAAGTTAAATTCGAGCTTAGTAATCAAGCTCAAACTTTGGAATGAGGCTGACTCATGAATTAAATTTATAATAGTAAACAAGCTTATAAATAAGCTTGAACTTATCTATAAATGAGTTCCAACTTAAATTTGAACTTCTAAACGAGATATTTTTTTTATTATATATATATCGATTTCAAATTAAAAGTTCGAGCGCAAACTATTATATTTGCAAACTAAATTTGCTAAACTCATTTGAACTTCTAAACGAGATATTTTTTTTATTATATATATATCGATTTCAAATTAAAAGTTCGAGCGCAAACTATTATATTTGCAAACTAAATTTGCTAAACTCAAATTCAACTCAACTCTCTTTCTATGAGTAGAGTTCAAGCTTGATATTTAAAAGTCAAGTATAAGGTTAACAAGCTTAATCCATTCTTAGAAAGCTTGATTCAGCTCATTTAGCCCTCTAACCCAATGTTTACGTCTTGAAAACTTACAAAGAAGTTCTCTACAATTTTTTAAATTTGGTAAGTCTAAGGATATTTCTCAATTTTAAATTTTGACAAGTCTTCAGGAAATTTTAAGTAAAGAACTTCAAGAGTATACATTTACACTGTAAATAATTAAGATGGATTTCAAATATAAGAGAAACAAAAAGATATGATTTATGATCTTTTTAAGGAATGTATCCGTTTTATATTTTCAGAGACTAACGAATCCTGCATTGCATCGCGGAAATGTGATTCTTGGCCACATAATTGTGCTGCATACAATCTATCTAACTCAGTTTAACAAGGTTTCCATGGAAATGTCCGTGTTCCATCATGTATAGGATGTATAAAATAAGCATATTATGATGATATTATTGTTGCATTTCTTAACTGTGTGTTAAATGACTTTTCTCTCTTAATAGTCCAATCATAATTAACTATATCTTTGTTAATATCATTTTCAAGCAAGAAAGATCTTATTGAAAATAAGATAAACAATTCTTTCCATTTGCTAAAAGATCAACAAATTTTATTAACTATATAATTTGACTTTATGAGTAATTATTTATAATACTTGAGTTTTTCTATAATATTAACGAAATTTATTTCTTAAACAAAGTATATTGCGATGATATTGCTAAACTAGGTAAAAGAAAAATGTACATTTGATTTCTGATGAGAGTGGTTCAAACATTGATACACCTGAGTATATAAATGAAAGTTCTGTAGCTAAACCGCATACATATAAGATTCAAACCTTTAGAGGATGTAGGACAACCATAGTGCGAGGTGCTGTTTTGTTCAATTCTTCTCTCATGTGATACACGAGGCGATCCAAGCGTATCAAACTACCGTCACAGCTGGCGTCAAAAGATGGGGATCATCCCACCCATCAACATAATTCTGTCACTAAGAAATTTAACTGCAACAGCATAGCATGCACAACAACAGTAAGATGAACCTAAAACAGCAGAAAAAGCTCGAATTTCAAGTTTTCAAACAAGAGTGCAAAATATGCTTCCTTACTTTACGCTTTGACATCACTGTGTTTGTATCATTCAACCGTGAGTATTCCCACACATAAAGCTGACGGATGTCCAATGCATGCAACAACCAGTAATATGAATTACGTCTTGTTTCAAATTCCAGGTTACACAGCTGCACAAAATATAAGAAAAATATTGGTAAAAAAAACAAAAAACAAAAAACAAGAAAAAAGAAACAGAACCCAGATTAACACTAAAGACGTAAATAAACAGAAATCAACTGATTATCTATGTTTGAAAACATGGAATGAAGATATAGACCCTCATAGAGGACATGAGAATTCATACTAACTTTAAATTGACATTTGAAGTCATATCATGTGACTGGAAGCTTAAACTCTTATAAGTTCAGAAAATTATTATCTAAAATTTATTTGCAAGTCTAAACCATCAAGTTATTCCTAATACACAAAGTTCTGCCAGAGATTCTTCACAATTACAAGCTACATCAAAATTATAAAAAACAAATCAAGAACAACATAGTACCAAGTACTAGTCCACAGTTCTTATCATTATCAGAAAAATAAGCAAGTGCATGGTGATCAAGCATTTCAGAGAGGGCATCTAAGAGTACGAATTACCATTTATACTATGCTCGAGGGACAAAAGAAGTCCTAACAGAAGAGTTATTAACAAACGCAAAACTTCAGTGAGGAAAGATGCTTTGGCATTCTTAGAGGATTTATTGAGATTAAAGAATGGCGAGTTTGTTTGCAGCCAGGAGAATAGAAAAAAAATATATGAAAGTCAATTTTATGCACATTTTCCTTGTAGGAGATGCTTATAAATTGTTGGTTGAAGTACCTGCCTTGTCTTTCCGAGAGCAAGGCAGGATGATGAATTGGGACAAGTCAGCAAATTTTGTGGAGAAAAGGCATGTTCAGTCTCATCTTGGAATCAATTAGTGGGTTCAACAATCAAAAAGGGGAATCCAGGCCTTGTTAAGGAAAACAGATGATAAAAAAAAAAAAAATTACAGTCACATGAATAAAGAGGTACTCTTATTGGGGTATTTCTTCAAGCAGTTCAGGTTTTGGACGAGGAGATCCCCTTTCGTTTACAGTAGGAACCCATGACTGGGAGATGAAGATGGTCTTATAGGCTTTAGGAAAGGATGATAAGATTAATCAAGTTTTGATAAAGAAACAGGATTCTAGTGTTTTAGAGAGGTGTGAAAACATATTTCTTTTTCACGGACACCTATTTGGATTTTGGAGAATGAAAGTGCCTTCATCTCATCCTTCTTCTTTTGGGAAAAGAATTTTCAAAACTGACAATTTGAGGAGAACACCTCTAGTATCCGAGCAAATGGAGTCAGAAAACATCATAATTTTTCAGTTGGATTGACAGAGACACTTCCTCACTGAGTTAAATTGAGGTATAGTTGCAAAAGTAGTAATGCAAAAATAAAACTATGTAGAAAAACATATAGAACAAATATAATATACCGAATGAGTGATATTCTCAAGAGAATCCACAATGCAATGAGCATAGTCATAACTTGGATAGATGCACCACTTGTCTCCTGAATGTGGACGAGGAGTAAACTGAACAAAAGAAAGTGAAAACATTAATATGCAAAACTAGACAAGGTAACACAATTAATTATGCATCTGATAACACTTGCCTTGATTCTATAGCTTCATTCTGAGTGTTGCCTTGCCTTCTTCAATCATGCCTCGTCTCATCTCATCAAAAAGTTTCAAAGACTCTGCAATCGGCCTATCCCTCAAAGGACTGTTCATCTTCTTTTCTCTATACTCTTTAATCTCATCAGGGGTCTAAAAGAGGCATGTACTTTAATTAACCCTTCTGGTGTCAATTGACTCAAAAATAAAAACAATATGACTGCATATTGCATTCATTGATAGAAATACTTGCCAACAAAATAACATCATGCCATGATCCTAACTGCAAGACAAAGTACAAGATTTGACTTGGATCTCACATTGAAAGTGTGGGACTCTAATGTGGGGTTTACATAAGCTTTGGGCTCTTCAGCCTCATGTGTTAGCTTTTAGATATGTTTCTCCCAAGGTTTATATCAATTGGTATCAAAGCCAACCGCCATTTATCACAATTGCAACCGAGCAATGCAGGTGGTGACACCAACATTGCAGTATTGCCTGTGGCTAAGTGGCAACACTAACATTGCAGTGTTCACCCCAGGGATAGAAAAACCAAGCACACAGCCATCCTAGCATAAGTTAACCCATCGCGGGCGCCGAGACTGCAGAGCATATTGAGATGTTGTAGTCCTAGTGGTATAACAAGGTATGGGACTTGACATGAATCCCACAGTGGAGTATTGAATTTTATTGTAGGGTTTACATGGGTTTGGCCTCTCCCATATCATGACGTAGAGTGTGCTTCTCCCAAGATTCATCTCTTTCCATAAAAATAATATCAAGAAAATAAAGTAAACTAGTATAGAATGTAATAATTACATGTATGGGGCAATTGGATAGTTTGAATAGAATTACAGATCTTTTATCTGAGGCCTTTCTTGGATTTTTTTTTTCTTTTTTTGTTTTTTATGGTATTGGGAGTGGCACTAATGGATGTCATAAAACACTTGATATTACAGTATCTATTAACTTAACAGAAGAAGTCCATTTGAAAGTTACCTGATGATCAACATAAGCATGACCCCTTCGTATCAGCTCAACAGCTAAATCATATAGATCTTGGAAATAATCGCTAGTGTAAGTGATCTGCAAAAGGAAAGAAGAATGTCAATGTCAAAAAGGGAAATCCCACAATACACAAGCCAGTCAAATAGAGTTGAGAATACCTTGAAAGGTTTCCAACCCATCCACTGGACAATCTCTTCAATGTGATCAATATATTCCTTCTTTTCAGCCTCAGGGTTTGTATCATCAAACCTAAAAGCAAACAAAGAAAGCCAAACATTAGATATAATTGATCGATACAGTTAATCCTTCAAACAGAGCACATCACCAGGATGTATATTTGACAGGAGCCTAAAGTAACATGTTTCGCCAATAATTGACCCAAGCAGTCTCTCACTGATAGTGCAGAATGATCAACCAATTCCCTCACTCCCCCTCCCCTTACCCCTCCCTGCCCCTTTTGACAAATCCCCTCTAGATAATGGAGACACTCATTGACATATACATATAGATAGTTGCTGAATAACACTAGAAATCTATAGTTTGCTTAAGTGCCTTGCATGACAGTAGTTGAAGCTAAAAACAAATACACTACATTACTGTCTCTCTCTAGATAAATGTTTAAGTAACAAAAAATATAAGATATGAATCAGGGCCAAGAACTTAAGGAATAGAATAGGAAGTTTAAGAAAATAATTCTTGCTAAAAGAAATAACCTGTAAAATGTTGATATACTGTTTTCTTGCAAATAATTGAGCTAGACAAAACATGCAATATAACAAGACCTGATTTATAAACTCTCATAATACCAAAAAGAAAACATCAAATACTGATGTAGCACCTTCTGATAAAAAAAAAAAAAGAAAGACAAGCAATTCACCGTAGGTAGGTGCATCCAAAAAAAAAAAAAAAAAAAAAAAAAAAAAAAGAAAGAAAAGAAAAGCAATTCACCTTAGGTAGGTGCATCCACCTCGCTCCTTTGCCAGACCAAAGCTAAAAAACATTGCCTGTTTCAAAGAATTACCATGCATAAGGTAAATGATAAATCTCAGAGCTTAATTTTATTCGCCTTTCTTGAATTATCTCAAACATCAACAACATTAATAACAAATAATACCTTTGCATGTCCGATATGAAGATATCCATTTGGCTCCGGAGGAAAGAGAGTAAAAACTTTTCCCCCAGTTAGTTTCAGGTGCTTCTCAAGCATTTCGTTTGTGTTGCAGCATCTCAAAACAGAGCTATCACTGAAGAATATTTCAGTATGCACCTGGTAATCCAGAAGAGAGTTTGTAATACATGCTATTACATAACGTAAACTCTTTAACTGCATGTGCGAAACAGGAAGGCAGTTAAGATTTGTTATAATTTGCAGCAAGGAAGCATTTAAGATCAATGTACACTTCTCATTATTAATTCGCAAACTAAAATCTAAAACAATATTTTCACCTTGATGCATGGAGAATCACAAAGCAATTATTGGCCGTGAACTAACTGAGCTCAAATCGAACCCTTGTATTAATTAACATCAAACTTGCATAACCATGTTAACATATTGAAGTAATTAAACACCTTGAAATTTTCTTCAGGGTTGGGAAATATAACGAATGGATTGAGATCTTCCTCAGATGGCTCCACTGGAGAAACATCAGCAACTTTTTTCTCCTGCATAGTTTTAGCACAGACAAAACTCAATGAGAAATGAATTAAAAACTTTTTATCAAAAGCATAGGTGGCTACATGAAAGTGAGCTTACCTCAATTTTAGCGGGCTTTTCCTTTTTCTGCTTTGCAGGCTTTTCATTATCAGCTGCAGTCCTTTCGCCAAGTAATTCAAATAATTTTGCATCCAAGAGTTGCTAACAAGCCAAAAAAAAAACATGGAAAGTGGAGAAATGTCAACAAAAGAAACATATTAAACAAATTCAATACTGTTTATAAGTTGATTTTAAGAACATAATTAACATTCACCTTGACAATCTTTGGATCAGCCCATGGAAGCCTCGTCCGAACATGCCCAAATAGATCACCCACTAGAATCAAAATAATAGAAAGCCAAATTAAACACTATTTACCAACATGAGCAGAACAACGGAATTAAGAATTCAATAGTGTACATAGATGGAACAACTCAAATATAAAAGCAACGTAATCATACATGCACCAACGCACAAAAATGCAATAACAAACACATAAAAGTAAAATAATTAGCACATGGGTAAAAACATACATTGGAAAGATGGAGAAGTCACAAAACCCTAGAAAATCACGAACACTGGCCCAATTCATGGTAAAGATATAAAAAAGATGGGAAGTGAAGAATGAAATTTTAGAATTGAATACAAACCATTTGTTCGATAATAAAAAACATACATTGGAAAGATGGAGAAGTCACAATAACTCCTAGAAAATCACGAACCACTGGCCCAAATATCGATGCAGTAAAGCGATATAAACAAAGCTGGGGTAAAGTGGGAGAAATTGAATTTAGAATTTAATGACAAGAACCATTTTGTTCGCATAATAGGTAGCCTTCATAAATGGATTCCTGTACTTCTGTTTCAAGCACTTCCAATGTAACAGTAAGTCCAATATCTACAAACACCTAACTTCAGAAGCATTAAAGTTATTCAACATCTAATGCCATTATGGAATGTAATCACCAGCAGAAATATAAATAGTACCATGAACAGAAAGTAAAATTATTTAAAATGATGCAGTTGAAATTCTGTTCAAACACTTCATTAACAGTAAGTCCAATATCTACAAACACCTACTCAGAAGCATAAAGTTATCAACATCTAATGCCATTATGGAATGTAATCAACCAGAGAAATATAAATAGTACCATGAACAGAAAGTAAATTATTTAAAATGATGATGAAATAAATATGAGGTGATGTTGAGAAAACTAGAAAAATTGGCAGAAGAGCACATGCATACATAGATATAGCATAATCCTGGAGCAACTACCATAACCAAGGACTTTCAATCAAGAAGATAACCTACCAACACCGCATGCTTCTTCAAATTCATTCAACTTGAAACTCTCAGAAGCAGTACGAGATAAAAATGAAAATGCAGCTTCTAGCTGGGCTGGGGTTTTGATCTGCAAAAATCTAAACATTGTAAGAATCCACCAAAAAATTACTTCAAGACTAAATATTCTAATTTATATTCCAAAAATCAAATGCAAATATTAGAATAAGAACAAAATTGAAACCTTTGAGGAGACAATATGTCCCAGCAAAGTAGGCCGATGTACCAACGCATTTGCTGGGTACATTGTCGCAACCTGTCAAAAACATAGCAACCACAGGGCTTCCAGATTGGTGAGATGCCCAACCACAACATGAAAAAGAAAATGCAAAGGCAAATATGTAGAAAAAGAAATTCGTGCAATCAAATTTAACAGTTATTACAAGTCATAAAGTTCACCAAATTTAAATACAAGGAAACAAAACTATCTTATCTAGGGAAAATACAATTCCCAATATACTCCCTAGATTACTTTGAAGCAAGATAATTGCAGAAAGAACTGAATGTAATATGAATTTTCTTACAGTGTAGATGAGGTTTCCGACAGTTCTACTGCATCCCTCAGTAATACCAGCCTGAAGACAAGTGACAAGGGAAAAAAGAATTTAGAAATAAAGAAAAATCATGCTCCAAAATATATACGCATGAAATTAGATTTTCCACTACTTCATTAAACTGAACCAAAACACAAAAATCGAAATCTTGTTAAGACTATTTACAGTTTCCATTGTTTTATCCCTCAATTTTTTCAGCAACAAAACCGAAATCCATCATTCCATTGTATAAATATAATAAAATCAAAAATTGTACAATATATTGCAAACACGCAAAATCTGATCATTATACCTTGTGAATAACAGTTGTCAGACTATGGGTCAACTTGTTATTGGCGATTGCGTTTTTGGCTGTTCTCTCATCGAGACCAATTTTCAAGAATAGCTCTAATGGCGCCACAGAGCCCTCTTCCTTCCTTCCTCACCGAATTTCAAGGTTTTTTTTTTTTTTTAACAAAAAGAAAGAGATTTCTGTCTCCTTGGCGAACTGGTCAGGTGTAATGTTCTGATTTAAGACACACCATAGGGCACACCAACCCTCGATCGCTGATGGGCGACTCTGCTTCTTCCTGCAAGATCATGCCATTGTGATCCTTCTCCCATGATAGCAAAAATCCAACTTGAGGAAGCCCACTTAAAGTGGGCCAAGCTCCTCGATAGCAGAGTCAATATTAATAGGCGGATGACAGGACCTTTACCACCATCTAGTGAATTGATGAATATTATAATAATAATAATAATAATACCAAATTAAAAATCAATTAAAACATAATAACACTAAACCAAAACAAAATACGTACAATGAGAACTAAATCTTTTGCAAGCCTCACAGCCTCTTAACTGTGTATACTTCAGGGTTCTGCTTATGTAAGCGGTACATCTTCGCCTTCTCTAAATCCTTCAAGTAAGATTCCCTTGCACCAGGCTCCTTTACTTGCTTCAACAATACACTCATCTCAAGCGTCCTCTTACCCCATCCTTCCACAAAAGCCTTGCTCTTTCAGTTCTTTGCCTCCAATTCTCTTATCTTTTCATCAATCTCTTGTAAACTAGACACCACCAAAGCAGTCTCAGAAGCATTTAGCCCAGTAACAGTAGAGCTAGAATCTATTTTCTGACTCAAATTCTCCATCAAAATAGTCCTTAGTCAATCCAGCCGACCAAGATGAAACAGAATCCCAACCTAAGAGAAAGCAATTTAGCCCAGTTATAGCAGTAGAGCTTAGAATCTATTTTCCTACTCAAATTTCTCCATCTTTACTTGCTTCAACAATACACTCATCTCAAGCGTCCTCTTACCCCATCCTTCCACAAAAGCCTTGCTCTTTCAGTTCTTTGCCTCCAATTCTCTTATCTTTTCATCAATCTCTTGTAAACTAGACACCACCAAAGCAGTCTCAGAAGCATTTAGCCCAGTAACAGTAGAGCTAGAATCTATTTTCTGACTCAAATTCTCCATCAAAATAGTCCTTAGTCAATCCAGCCGACCAAGATGAAACAGAATCCCAACCTAAATCATCATCACCAGTTCCACCAAAAGCACCCTCCCAATCATCATTCCCTTCATTTCCATCAAAATCACCGCCTGATTTAGCTGAAAACGGATGATTACAAATAACTTGACATGCTCCTATCCCATTGATTGATACCCTCGTATCATTTCCCAAACCGGAGGTTGTCTTTTCTTTGATAAATCTTGCAGTACCTGTACCTGTGCTTACTGCTGCTGATGAGAAACGTGATATAAGCCAGTGAATGTTCTGCATATTTCTATTTTTTCTAACTTGAAATTAACACAAGTGCCTAAATTAGAAAATATATATAGATCTAAATTATGTAGTTGATTTGAAAGAAACTGGAAGATGGAAAAAAGTAGATGCACAGATAAAAATAGAGAGCTAAAATAAGAAGCTAACCTCTAAAGATTTGAAGGTTCCAAAGATTCCATGAAAGCACAAGAAATCAAGTAGAAGGTAAATATCTAGTGAATTGATGAAGAACTCCATATCAAATTATTAAAGTTAATAATTCATTAATTGAGATCAAAATGGTGGAGAATTTCTAGGTTCTTTTGCAACTAACTCATCAAGTAATTCAAATGCAAACAACAACCTTCTTTCTCTGTATACATAGTCAAGTAAAAGAGCCCAAGAATCAGGTTCTGGTTTAAACCCCATTTCTGCTAATCGAAACAATGCTGTAACGGCATCATCCACCATTCCAGTGTTACAAAGGCGAGCCAACAGCTCATTTGAAGTTGCATGGTGGGGAACAAAGCCTCTACTAAGCATCAAACCCAACAGTTCACAAGCCTTCTCAAGCTCACCCTTTTGACAGAAGAAATTCAGAACAATCCGGTAACTTCCTTTATTCAAATAAACACCCTCATAAGCTAGTCTTTCGAGCATCCCCAGTGCCTCATCAAATCTGCTTATTCTGCACAAACCTTTAAGTAGGATATTAAAAGTTACAACATCAGCTTTGCACTTCATTTCTGACATCTCTTTAAGCAATTCCATGGCTTCGTCTACTCTGCCGGCCCCACAGAAGCAATTTATCAATGTTGTATAGCTAATTGTATCAGGTTTTAAACCAGAGCTCTTCAACTCATCAAAAACCTGTTTGGCCTCCTCCAACTTGCCCTCCTTGCAGAACCCATTCATCAGGGCTGAATAATTAAATAAATTCGGGTTGCATCCATTATTTCTCATAAACTCCATTATCTTCCTGGCCCTATCAAATTTCCCTCCACGGCAAAAGCCATTAATCAAAATATTATACGTAAGAGCATCAGGCAATATCTGATCCCTTGACACCATCTCCTCGAACAATTCAATTGCTTCTTTAAGTCTTCCACTTTCACATAACCCATCCATCAGAGTTGAGTAAGTAATCAAATTAGGATAAGATATTTTAGATTTCTTCATCTCCTTCACAACTTCAAAGGCAGATTCAAGAGCTCCACTTTTGCAATGATGCTTAACCAATATGTTGAAAATACAAGTATTTGGCCTTAATTTGAGACTCCTCTTAACATGCAATAATAATTTCTGTGCCAAGTCAATCTGCTTTGATTCAATCAATAGATTGAGACATGTGCTGATGGCTTTGAGAGTAGGCTTCTCACGGACAATAGGCTGAATTGCGTAAAACATTTCAAGCACTCTTTCGTATAGAGAGGACATAGAGAAATGCTTCATGAGATTAAGGAATATGTTTTCATGAAATTTGCAAGTTTCATAAGTCATCTGATGAAGAAGTGCATCAACAACCTGAAATTTCTTAGCTTGAGCAAGCTTATGGATTATGGTTGAATAGGTAGCATGATTGTGATTAAAACCTTTTTGCTCGGCTACCATGTTGAATATTTCTAGTGCATGTTGTGGATCTTGCTCATGTTTGATTAAATTTATGGCAGACCCATGAGAGATGAACTTTCGCTTCCTCTGGGATTCTACATGGTTGTTAGAGGTTTTGGTTGGGATATTTGGCACGGAAGGAGTTGCCTTCGATAATTGAAGAGGAGAGATGCATGGAAATGAATATGGTGGAGTTGAGGAAGAAGAGGAGAATGAATGATGCTTAAGGCAAAAAACTCTCAATGAATTCATGATAATTGTTGCACCTTTTATACTGCTTCATTACCTGAAGAAGAAGACAACCCATTCGCTTTCTTTGTCAAATGAATATTGAAATGCACATTTTCAAAACAAATAAACAAACTAAACCAATTCAGGATCATCACCTTCAGCACATACAGACCAAATAAAGATGACAAAAACAATGACAACCAAGGAAAGAGAATAAATCAAGAAGCAGCAGACCATGAGTTCTAGCTCCTATGCAAATTTATTCTAGGAAAGATGCTTAAGCATTATTCTAACAACTAAATAAAATTGAGTGCAACGCATCCTTCTGCTCAAGTTGTCTTCTTATTTGTTTATTTATTTATCTTGGCATTTCTTTTTCCTTTTTACCAAATAAACCAGATAAATTTTAAATCACAAGCAACACAAGCTTGGAGGCAACCAATCAAGCACGGCCGAAAGAAGATATGCAGTTACAAATAAACCAAAATAACAAGGTGGCTGAAGATTAATTTACATCAACACCAATAAACTACTTGCTTTTCCTTTTCTTTTGAAATACAACAAAGACTACAGAAACTGAGTTACTAACAATTCCAAATATTATTTTTTAAAAAGGACAACTTGATTCTTTTCCTCTTTTTGTCTGTAAAAATTACCCAAGTCTAGATTTCCACATATTGACCACACACACACAAAAAAAAAAAAAAAATAAATTTACCCAGTCCTAGAATTTCCACATATTGACCACAACACACACAAAAAAAAAAAAAAAAAAAAATACTAGCATGATTCTAAACTGGATGTAAATTTGACTTCCAAAAAAAACCCTAGATACAAATGTAACAAATAGCAAAGAACTTCTTAGTTTTTTTTGGACTAATTTGGTTTAGCCGTTTATGCTAGCTAGTAGTGCTAGAGTCTAATAAAGCCAAATTCTAAAGTCATGGAGAGCTAAAAAACTTTCAAAAATTAAGGGGTCAAATCAAAAAATATTTTCATTATTTTATAGAAAAAAACTTCAAAATTATGGAACTAGAGAGGGATGGCAGCAGGGCGAGTACCCGCTAGAAATCAACTACCTGAACCCTAACCCAATAATCAATTTAAGTACTCGGACCCGTCCCAAATTCCTTGAGGAATAAACCAATAATACCCAAGACCGTGCCGAATCTGTTTAGAATTATCCGCATACAACCCGAACCTGTTTAAATACCTATTTAATCATAAATTCATTCAATTTATTTGAAACTCGAATCCGAACCCGGAAATACAATAGAAAATATATAAAAAAATGTATTAAAATTCACCTGAAAATAATAAAACAATTCAACCAATAATAAAACAACAATACTAATAACATTAAAATAGAACAAAAAATTTAAAATTCAACCTAAATAAATAATAAATACATCAAACCAATATCTCAATTAAAGAATTTGACAATCAAAAATCTATTAAAATTCAATAATAATAATAACAATACCAAATTAAAAATAATTAAAACATAATAATACAAATCTAGAACAAAACATGTACAATGAGAATTAAATCCATATAAAACAAAAAAATTAATATCTCAATAAAAAATTTATAAAATTAAAAAGTGCATTGGAATAAAACAATACTACAACAAAAACACAAGGAATTTTACATAAACATAATATTACTTAGTATAATAAGTAAAGTCAGTTCAATTCATTAAACTAGGGATGCAATGAATTAAATTATGTGTTAGAGAAGAGTTAATGACCAAAGAGTGGAATTATTTTATACAAATAGAGAATTTTAATTGGAATTAGCATCTGACAGAAGAAAGACTATATTTATGTCTTCTATCTTATTAAAAAAAACATTTGGTATTACATTTATTGTTCAATAATGAAATGAGAAAAAGAATGACAATTTAATAATACATTAGATATCAAAAGGTAGTTCCATGACTGCCAAATTTAGCTTCTAACCAGCCTGGTTTCTAACTTAACAGCAACTACATGTGGTTAAATTAATTATTTAATTAACAAGTACAAGTAAAATTTCTGGTCCAAATTTAGTCATCTAACTAACCTGGTTTCTAACTTAATAGCAACTACATGTATAATGATTTAATTAACAAGTACAAGTAAAATTTCTGGTCCAAATTTAGTCATCTAACTAACCTGGTTTCTAACTTAATAGCAACTACATGTATAATGATTTAATTAACAAGTACAAGTAAAATTTCTCTATCTGTTGGTATTGCATTTATTATATGAGTTCCAAATTGACTTGTTTCTCACAGAAAATAACCAATTTCCTTCTCTTTTTCTCTTTTAATATATACATTTTCAAGAAATTAATTAGCTTCATTCAACTTAACGAGAGCCTTGAACCTGAAAATGTCTAATCACGTTCTTGGACTCGGCACATTTCACATTCCAAGATTTTAACAATCTGCGGGGAAAGAAAGATGAAGATAAATTCAACAAATACAGCTCCTCTTTCATCTAGGATACAAACATAATAATTTCACCTAAAAAAAACCTATTTTAGATGGAAAATAACAAATAAAAACATGCACAAAACCCACAAATGAAAATAAGGCAATAAACATCTATCTTGAATCTCTATGCTAAACCCACAAATTAATTCAACAATATATTAAATTAATTCCCAACAAATAATATATATTATAAATATATATATTATATAATATATAATATTATATATAATAATATATATATATAATATATATATATATATAGAGGGAGAGAGAGAGAGAGAGAGAGAAAAATGAAAAAGAAACGAAGGCAAATAGAAAATAATATATATATATATATAGAGGGAGAGAGAGAGAGAGAGAGAGGAAAATGAAAAGAAACGAAGGCAAATAAGAAAATAAAACAATTGGAGAATGGAAATGGAGGAACCTGTCACTGTCACTGGTACTACCGTTGAAGAGCAAGACTGCTGCGGAGGCGACAGCCGCGGTTGACGGAGGCGACGGCCGCGGGTGACGGTAGCGACGGGAAGGCGTATAGTTCCGACTCTGAATGGGTAGAACCGTAGAAGGAGAGAATAGCAGCGGCGCAGGAAGTTGCAAAGATGTGGAGAGGAATTTTTTTTCTTTTTATCATTAAAATGCAAATCGACATAGATTTGTGGGTTCACTCTTGCTACGTTAAAACTAGGTAGTTTTAAGGTAAAATAGTTATTATTATTATTATTATTATTATTTTACCTTTCACTATTTCTCTACAAAGAGAAATTATTTCTTCACTATTTTGTCTAACAAATATGGAAATAATAGTAATTTTATTTTATAAAAACTAATTACCATAATTATTGCAATTTCAAATGAAAACTTTTGTTGCCACTGTGTTTTCCTTTTGGTTATCCTATATTTCTTTTGTTTTTCTATTTTCCTTACTGTCACTCTATATGGCTCACACCTTTTAATTTGTAATAAGATAAAAATTAATCAAACTTCAATTTGTGCAACGCTAAGGTCCTCGACTATTTTTTTAAGCATAGCCTTGGCAGAAGAACAAGTTGGTTTGTGACTTCATCCTGTATAAAAGGCCAATTTAACAGATAAAACAAGAATAAAAATTGTTGTCTTATAAAGCTAATTTTTAAAAAATGGTAATATCTCACATCGTAACAGTACAAAAACATGCATGTTAAACTCCCCAAATGATATTAGTCCACCGTAGTTCGTTTACATTACCAAACACGAAAAGGCATCAATGTACCATCTCAATGTACAAAATAGGATAATGCACTGACGAGAAGGGTTACGCACAGCCAAAACTCAAGTAAATATTCAGGCTAGCTAGAAATGACTAACAAACAAATAAGGCAGCTTTGCTCACTTGAAAATAAAAGGCGCCCAGCCTAAACTATGAAAACTCCTTGATAACCTTCATCGGTGCCCAGAACAGTTCTCCAATACTATCTATAACATCTTAAACCGGACTAATTACAGCCTCAACTGCGTCCAAAAGAACCTACCTAATTGTCCTGGCAACAACAGATATGGATTGTGTTGCAAATAAAGTTGAAAAATGGTAATGAAGATTGTGAGATATCATGCAAGAAAACTACAGCAAAATTAGAAATTCTGATATCTTCGTTTTATTTTTTTATCTTTTTGCTTTTTGGTGACTGAGAAAAGCAGTTGACGTCTAGTAGTGCAAACTTGATCATCAAGGAAGAATCTTGCGTCTGCGGTGAGGAGTCTCTCGCCTCACATACATCTTCTCCATCTCATTTAGAGGTCGGGTGGACCCATTGGGTAAACTTACAAACTTCCAACCACCACCACCCCCGCGCTTCCCTCGTGGTCCCATTTTCTCCACTGTGAAGTTCCAACCTTCAGATGGGCGTCGTCTACTATACTTGTGGCATTTCACCTGTCCTGCCATCTGTATAAATGGAAAACAAAAGATAAAATTGAAAGAAATTGAAAATATAAATTGGCTTCTACCAAAAAAAGAAATTGATTTTCAGGAACTAGCAAGTCAATTCCACCAACACTACACTCCTGGCATTTATAGCCATTTTCTGTTTAGAATTTCTTGCCATTTTAGCTCCAAACATCCAAATTTAGTCGTCTTGCATTGTCTTTTGGGAACATAAGCTTTAGCAAAGCATAGCACTGGAGTTAAGTATATGCATGTGTGGTTAGAAAAATGAACGGGCAATAGGAGGTATTAATGCAACAATATTAACAATGGATATTAAAAACTTGATTATTGCAAAACACGCATGTTTATTTTCTGGTTAAATGCCAGGAACACTTGGGAGCTGGGACTTACTTTCATTTTGTTGAAGTTCATCTTTTGGACAAATTCTTGATACAGCATTTCATCCTCTTTCATGGATATCTCATAGTGGACTTCATCCAGGTCTTTGATGGTACCATCCCAACCCTCTGGCATAACCTTGAAATCAGGCTTATATGGAAGAGATGCTACATGAAATTCTCGATCATGAGAATTAAAAAATCTGGGAAAGGAAAAATACTGAATATTATGAGAGGTAGAAGTCAATTATTCTGGAAAATATAAGTTCGAGAAGCCATAGGATTTGATATCTAATGACTATGCCCTTTGATAAATCTACATCCATTACACTGCTCTACCTTCATATATATTTCTGAGTTTATTTTATGAACAAGCAGAAATCCATGTACATGCATAATATAAAGAACAAGACTACAACTAAATGTTCATCAACTACCACCATCCTGAACAAATGATATACCACCATCATAACCAATTACTATTACCAATGACAGTAAGCATCAGCATTTTCCAAAGCTTCGTTCATAAAATTATCAATTCTTCTTGAAGCACATACTTCAAGTCATTTAAAAAAATCCTAAGAGGATAAACCAAAAACATGGTAAACCTTATATCTAAAATTCATTTGACAAATAGGAAGAGAATCATATTCCTCTGTCAGTTCTGTGCATATTAAGATGTCTTCATTTGCATGCTCAGCATTTCTTGGACTTCTTCGCCTACACCTAGAATAGGCTGTCTATGCACCTATCTAGTATCTAGGGAGGCATGTCAACATAAATCGTAGCACAATTAATGTTAAAAAAAATCCTCAGCTAGCTAAGGGGCAAAAGTTATCGATAGGAAGGAAACAGCTCCTTTCTTATGCATCACAAGACATTTAGGATTGCAGATAAGTGAAGACCTGCAACTTTATAGGCTGAAAACTGCAGACTTATCTTGGGATGTCAACGGACAACCATAATAACAAAATTAAATAAGAAACAAATTTTTAGTGAAAGAAAATTATCAAACAATACACATATTTTGTGATTATTAAATGCACATGTGCTCAGCATTTTACTTCCAAATCACACATAAATTCCAACCAAGTTCAAGATAAACTGCAAATAAGATCAGTTAAAAGTTTTTTATGCAGTCCATTTTAAATGAGTGTGCAATGCATATGCAAAATCTGATTTAATCACACAAAAAATGGCGCATTGCAACCATTTTACTTGAGCTATAAATATTCAAACTAACCAAAAACATATCTTACTCTGGGCAAGTATCAAGCAAGAGCTCTACGGAGTCATCTAAAGGATGACCGAGTTTTTTCTCCTCTTCCTCCTCAAGTTCCTTCAACCAAAGAATGGCGTGCACCCGCTGCCTCATTATCCGAAAATCTTTCGCAAGCCTCTCAACTGTGTGCACTTCAGGGTCCTGCTTATGCAAGCGGTACATCTCCGCCTTCTCTGAATCCTTCAAGTAAGATCCCCTTGCACCAGGCTCCTTTACTTGCTTCAACAATACACTCATCTCACGCATCCTCCTGCCCCATCCGTCCACAAAAGCCTTGCTCCTTTTGTTCTCTGCCTCCAATTCTCTTATCTTATCATCAATCTCTTGTAAACTAGAAACCAAAGCAGTCTCAGAAGCATTTAACCCACCAATAGTAGAGCTAGAATCTGTTTTCTGACTCACGAATTCTCCATCAAAATGGTCCTTAGTCAATCCAGTCGACCAAGATGAAACAGAATCCCAACCTAAATCGTCATTACCGGTCCCACCAAAAGCACTCTCCCAATCTTTCCCTTCATTTCCATCAACACCACCGCCTGATTTAGCTGAAAACAGATGATTACAAATAACTTGACATGCTCCTATCCCATTGATTGATACCCTCATATCATTTCCCAAACTGCAGGTTGTCTTTTCTTTGACAAATCTCGCAGTACCTGTGCCTGTGCTCACTGCTGCTGATGAGAAACGTGATATAAGCCGGTGAATGTTCTGCATAGTTCTATTTTTTCAAGCCTTTAGCACAGGGTTGAGATAAAAAATCTCACGAGCTCCTCTATAAAGCTCTCCAATTGTTCCCTGAAAAAATAATTGATGTTTAGCTAAGTGAAAACAGCAAATACTTGTGCAATATTTTGCAAAACCGAAGCTCGGGGATGATTTAAAACATTAACGTGGAAACTATTAGTTTTGAAATTGAAGCTCTTTGGAAATTGGATCAAATATCGGTTTATTGGCTACTGTTTAAACACAAATATGCAGTCCAGATTCCATTTTCAGAAAAAATAGTCTACATTTTCAGTTAACTCATTATTTTCCCACCAACCAAACAATTATTTAGCAGGAATAGGAATTCAAGAGCGTGAAACCGTAAATTTTAGCAGAAACCATTCAACATAGACAAAAAAAATGAAAAACAATTTCAACTAAAACAAAAGGCAAAAACGGTGGGGGAGAGAGAGAGCACCTGAAATTTGTGGGATTTGATGACTATTAGATCGATTAGTGATGCAAAGGAGAGATTGAGCTCGACTTTAACAGAAACCGTGCGAAGAAGAGATTGATAACGGTACGAATGAGAGTGCAAGTGGGGCTGTACAAATGAAACTGAACAGGTAACAAAGAGAGCAGAAGAGAAGAGCGCAAGTTCGAAGCTTTTGATGCTGGAATGAGGGCAAACGAGAGGGCGGCCGAGCAGAGGGCAAGTGTTTTTGCTCCTCTGGTTTTAAATTTAACCAGACCGAATCGGTTCGCAGTTTAATCGGTCCTAGTTACCGGTCCAGTCTATTTTTAAAAACATTGGAAACTAGACTACATAATAATTAGCAAAAATATAGAATTTAAGAAAATGTTGTCTAATTGTCTAAACTAGGTTCTAAACTATATATCTATAATTGGACATGTTCCTGCGTTATGCACGAATTGTATAATTTTTTTAATTAAATTAAATATAATTTTAAAAAATTATTTTAATTTATATTTGTGTTGCTTTAATTTATATAACTTATTTATGTGCTTTTTTTAATTCTCAAATATTGAACTGAAGTATTAATTAGCATAATTAATTATTATAAGCAAATTATTATTATTCAATTGATATATTTAGTTAATTATTTGTTTTTTCTCTTTGAAATTCTCATATATTCAAATTAACAAATTATTGAAACTGAGTATAATTAGCATAATTAATTATTATAAGCAAATTATTATTATTCAATTGATACTATTTAGTTAATTAATTTGTTTTTTTCTCTTGAAATTCTCATATATTCAAATTAAATAAAGTAATATAGAATATTTAATCTTAATTGAAAATCAAATTTTAGTGAATTGAAAATTAATATTTTAGAAATTCTATTTTGTTAATCTAATTATATTATTTTAATTAATTTTTTATTAACTTGAACTCTATTATATTCCATTAATTTTTCTATAGAATAAAAACTATTGAAAATAAAAACTTTTATATTTATTATATATTAATTTATAATGAAATTTATTAAATTTAATTGTAACTCCATTATTTAATAAAAGACATTTAATTTTTATTTAAATATAAATAAATATAAAAAATATTAATTATAATGAAAAAATAAAATATCATGTCATCATTATCATATTTTAACATGTTGCCACTTAAGCATTTAAGCATTAGAAATTATATATTTATGTAGATTGATGTCTCATATATATATATTCTAATCTCATATTCAACCTCCTCTCCCTCATTTCTGTTTGTAATTTCTACGCTTGATGGATTTTGTATTTGAGAAATTATAATTTCTGTGAGTACAGAGCTACTTGTAAATTATGGTGTAATTAATTTTCAAATTTGAACATGCCAAATTAAAATATACTTTATGAGAAAAATTTAGACTATTTATTTGTAATTTTTGGATATGTATTTTATTTATGACGAATTTAAAAAAATCTCAGTAATTATTATCTTATAAAAAATATTACCAATGTCACTGCTGACATTAACATATTAAATAAGTATAAAAAATAAAATATGAATATAGGAAAAAAAAAATCTTAAAATTCAAAATTTGTTAGCAAAATAAATGTTTTCTGTTTTGGTAAAAAACATTTAACTTTTTAGAATAGCACTAAAATTTTATACAACTTGAAATAAGACCTCTCGACAATAGCTTTTCAAGTTATTTTTAATGTTTCACCAAAGCCAACACACTATTCATTTATAGTGCTCAATGGCATGTTGTTTCTACTAATATTCAATAGTGCCTCACTGTTAATCCATTTAATATCTGATGATGAGCTAGTGAAATAGCGGAAAGCTTATAGAACAGTGTGTTACAGATTGGTTGCCACCAATGAACAGTGCAACTCCATTCTTTTTATTGTTTTATGTAATTATCAAATAAATGGATCATAAAACATAGGACACGGTGCTATTTTTTTTTTTTTCCCCTATAATTATGGTTACATTAATCACAAATCCTCAAAGAATCTACTGTTCACTCCAGCTCTGTACAAATGCAACTCTGCTGATTCAGCTGTTATCCTGATCTCAGTACAAGCAGGTACAAAGAGAACCTCTCCCTCTCCAGCCTTACCATCCTTAGAAAATCCTGCAGCAATTGTCCCTCTCCCCATAATGAACAAAAGAACAGATGGTCCCGGGACTGAGGGGAAAACTACTGATGCAGCCCGAGGAATAACAGAGAGATCAACTTCAAATTCATCAAGAGGTGGGAGGTACCTTGTTGTATATGGATTCAAGGAAACACCCTGCAATATCTCCGGAAAACCCTGCAATAAAAAGCATAAACCAGGTTGCATTTTGAATGAACTAAACAAATGAAGACTACAATGTTTTTCAGAACATAACCGATGTCATATGTTGAGGAAGAAGTCTATAGCCGATGTCATATTTTAAGGAAGAAGCTTATAAGAGATGAATAACCAGTGATATATCCACAAACAAGAGAAAGATCAAAGTCGCCAATGACATCGATACAATCTTAAATGCATCCAAAACTTCCTGGCACAATAAAATTGATCAAAGTGAGCAACTCTTTATTAATCATTCTAGTGTGGTCTCAGTCTTATGCATGACAATGTTTCTCTCAGTGAGAAAACTTTTCAAGATTGCAAAGTTAGAAACTTGTCAAAACTGCTAAATAGTTAAAGAGTTCGAACAGCAATCACCAACTAGAAAAAGAAAAAAAAAATCTTTAAACAGATATATCATAAAATATTAAAAATGTTTCCCTTTGACAGCAACAACTTTTGCTGCCTGACAGTATTCTCCGCTTTTACATAATTTCAGGTATCTTCTTTCTGCTTTGTAAAAAAGGAAACGAAGTGGCTAGTTTCCATGTCCCATTAGCTGGATTAGAAAAGGACTTTTAAATGATCAAGTCAAGCATTATCATCTAATTTTATGCATTGCAGAAGGTACAATTGAGCAATCCATCCAATTAAAGAAGAGGAATCACTCTACACTGGTAACTTCAGAACAAAATGTTGTGATTTTGACAAGAGATTATTACCTGTCTATATTCTAGCATAGCAAGAAGAGTTTGAATATCCCGGCGTTTAGAGGTAAGGCCTACACGAACAACATTGTCTGAGTTTGCCATGCATTCAATGCATTCACCAGCAATATATGCATGGGGTTCATTTGCCCCTAGATACAATGCTTCACCACGGTTCAGCTTTACATAGTTCAATAGAAATGCAGCTATTACACCTGTATCAGCAGGGTATTGACTCTCTAGTCTCAGCACTAATTGTTCTTTATCCGTCAATTCCCTTTCCTGATCAAGTGAAGGAGAATCACAGTGATTGAAGGAAACAAAAATCAAGCAGTCAAACGCAACATGAAAAACAATAAATTAACAAACAAGAGTGAAAAACTTGTAAGCTATTAAAATGACTTCTAGATGTCAATTCACCACATTCAAGAAAACGCTTCATCACAGCAATATTTTAACTTTTATTCAGAACAGTGTCACGAGAACCCCATAAGATGGCGAAGCAGGTATTGATGTTTTCTTCCTTAGTTCTCCTAATTTTGGTGCTACCTATAACTGCAATCTGTATTTTCTCTTTTCTCAATGGAACCAAGAGCTCTACACTTTTCCTTATAATGAATTCTGCAGAAATAAATTGTATCCCTAATCAGATATTGAGATTCATATTCATATTAAAAGCTCTTCAAAAAGCCCGGCAGATAAGAGTTTCCCCATCAAAAGACAAATAAATAAATGTATGGGTAGTAAAGTCAAATTTAAAGAGGCAAAAAGAAAATAGAATGGACACTACAGAAGTAAATAGGCATGCATATATCACCTCTTAAGTGCTCAATTTACACAACTATTATGAAGCTTATTTGACTTCTTACTACAGCCCACACCTACCAATTCTACTTCTCATTATAAGGACAAGCTTGACACAAAAAGAATTGCAATTATCGTTCTTCTTGTTTTGCTTGAAACCAATCAAAGCTAGATCAAGTCTTCAAGATGGCCTTCATGCTAAAAGCTTGTTTTATATAACCCATGGACCATTACCATCATCATGCTGTTAAACAAAGCTGAATTTTTCTTAAGTATCGTCTCAAAGTTTGGTATGTATAAAAGTTTTGGAACAATAATAATAGGAGCCAATATTGCTGAATTCCTTTAAACCAAGTGATAATACAGAACAAAGCCAATCAAGAACAATAATAAAGTGCCCTGATATTCAGTAAAAAAGAAAACTATTCGATAATTAGATAGAATGCCGACACCACCTTGGTTAAGTTTTATATCTTTCACAATATTTCTGAACCATAGGGAATGCAAGGATTAGGAGAGCTTCGCTTGACATTTTATTTGTTTGAAAACGAAGGAAAAGTTTTCAGTTGTTTACCTGCTTTTCTTTCTTTCTTCAACTTTGATTTCTCCGTCCCCATTCTCCAAAGTTTCCAAAGTTTCTTTCCTTTTTTGCACCTCTCGGATTGTACTATCAGTATAGAATACACAGAGAGAATGGTGGCTAGTTTACAGTACTTCTAATTTCCAACATTCCAATCTGTCCCATCTCAACACTTAATAGACCTCCCAAATTTCCAATATTCTTACAAGATTACATACAAGTGATTGTGTTTATATCTAGCAAGGTATAGATACATAACTTTTTACCAAAGGAATCATCATGAAGCATATTGTTTTCTACTAAAAGGAATAATAATAAAGCACAAATTTCCGAAAATAATAAGTCAAAAAAAGAAAATCATAGACCTGAGAGAATAGATAATTACCTGCATTTCCAGATGCAAACGCCTTTTTATTTTAGAGATCACTTCAAAAATTTTCTCTCTACTTGATGACAAAAGCTGACTGAAGATATATTCAAGAATTGCTTTTACTTTTGCATCCCTATCTTGTTCACTGAAATATAAAAATTGCTCGGCATTGCTACCCCCAACCAATTCTTCTAGCTCAGGAACATTGCGCAGCACGTCCTTAAGCTCCTGAGAAACAAGTATCCACAACAAACAATTCAGATGCTAAATCAGACAGCGCTTTGAAGATTAAGTTAGAAAGCAATAAAAGTTTTCAAATAATGTTGTTCAGTTTTCATCTTACACTATATACGTTATTAATCCTCTGCTCCATATTAAATTTCTAACATATCAGATTTTTTTTTTTTTTTTTTTTTTTTTTTTATTATTTTGTGGTGAAATTTGAAACAGTAACCAATTTTTTTTCCTTTTAACTACGGTAAATTAGTAAAGGGAGCCCTTTTTGCCATATTACTAGTCCATCTGTTAATTTTTATACACCCGGAATTGTAGTGAGTTCCTACATGCTAAAAGGAGAATATTTTAGGTTAGGAAGATGGAGAGACAAAATATAGTTTTAGCGGAAATTATTCCAAAGAGATATCTTTTCTTTGTACTTCCACTGATCTCCCACCCTAATAATTCCCCACCCACCAAAATTCCACCAAACCTATTTTCTGTCTCCCCGAGTGCAGGAATCTAACAAACACACTAAATTGAAAACATATACTCTCCCCAATAATATTTGTAATCTCAACAAAATAACTCTACATATTATCAAGAGACATTTTTTGTGAACATATACTAAAGAAGTGCATTGGATTCTGTTGTGATATACTTAGCACACAATATGTCAAAAGGCGTGTTGACTCTATAGAAATAATTTAATGCGCATTAAAATAAAAAAGAATATATTGAAACTATGGAATAACAATAAATTAATTCTCCAATTTACTGCAATATATAACATTCCATAGAATAAACACAGACATTTTTAATTGATTTACTATGCCTAGACATAGAAATTAGATAGCGTTTTTGGGAATCCTCATTAAATTTCAAAGACATTATTATAAAATTGCCCGAACCCATGACCCAATGTTAAAATCCTGTTAATTATGAAATTGCCTACCCCGGCGTCAGAAGTATTTTTGTATTAAATTCTTGACACATCAATACACGGATATCGTGAAAAAAAACACAATAAAAAAATAAGGTGCAAACCTAATTACCAACGTCGTGAGAAATTAAAAAAGGAAAATAATAAAAAAAAATTCATAATTCTTGCAGGACCTCCTGGAGGAGAAGTAGATAATATACCGCGTTCCGCACAATGTAAGATTAGGTCTTTCCACGCATTGCATTGTACCGATAATTAGAGCGAAGGCAAAGGAATAAACGACAGAGCCTTTGTTGACTTAATATTTTAATTGAGGTACTACCAAGGAGAACTGGCCAGTAGTCTCGTTTCTGCACTTCGCTGTAAAAATGTTCTCATGGGACTGGTCACTACCCTAACTGTGAAAAAATACAGCAAATGTAACTGTAACAAAATAGGTACCTTGTGACTGAAGAAGTTAAATTATTATTATTATTACCAATGATAAATATAAAATATGAGCCGCCCCCGCTCCAAAAAATTGTAAAAAAGAGCAGTAAATTTAATATAGGTTGATTGTTGGGTTTTTGCTATCTTAGTCCACCTTTACGTTCATAAATCCGATGTTAACGAGGAAAGCCGCCTAGCCGCAGACAAATATAAAGAAAAACCAGATTATGCCTTTACTTTGCGGCTTCTCATTTAGACCACTAGACCACCACAGCGCAGACAAGCCGAACAGCCGAAAAAGTATCAAGTTCTAGTAGCTTCAAAGAGATTAGAAAACATATTGGCAAGCACAAATTGAGAATAGAATTGAGCACTGGATCTACCGCCTGTGGCAAACGGCGAGAGACGCTTGAGTAAAGCAAGAAAGCAAGTAATTAAATGGAAAGCAACAACAAATTAAACGCGACCAAGATAAACACCTGCACGAGATGATACCTAAGGAATGTGCCTCATAACAATGCATGATCTAAAAGAGCACGCTTTGAAGAATTAAGTTTAGTGGAACAATAGGAACCCCGCCCAAATAAAAAACAGAACGAGCGCTGTTTTCAAAAGGTAACCTACCTTTCATCTTAAAGGTTTTTTTTTGCGTGTTGTATGTTTACATTGTCTTTTCTCTTCTGTCAAAAATAGTCTACTTAAGTCTTTATCTATTTTCGTATACGTTGTTTGATGGGATAAGTAAGAGAGTGAAACAATATTTTTATAGATGTTTTTATATTATTTTTTGCATTTTGTTGTTTATTTTAAAATTAAAATAATAATTTATTTTTTGAAACAATTAATATCGTAAATAATCAATGATTGAAAGTTCAATTGGAATAATATATTAAAATAATAATATTACCTTTCAAAAAAATTATTAAAATAATATAATAATACTTTTTAAAATTAATTAATAAAAAAGTATTAAAAATTAAAAATTATCAATTATTAAAAATTCAAGTTATTTAATTAACTCAAACTATTATTTATTAGCCAATGACTAATGATATTTTAGGATTTCTAAACTTTTACTATGTTTATTATAGGTAATCCCATTATTCCCCCTCCTCATTTCCACTTTACATATAGTATAGAAATATAGATATATCTTTTTGGTTAAATTGCAGAACTGGTGCATTACTATAATTATTTCTCTACTCAATAGCTTGGATTCTATTGAACAACATCCATAATGTCAATAAAAAATGTAAGGAAGCCATTTAAACAGCTAACATTTATATATGGAAACTTAGCATCTCATTAAATTTAGCCATTGGTTGCCCAAACAAATCAGTCCATCTACTCTACATGACTTAACAGAAAAATCTTAGTCAAATCATATATATACATCCTTATTTTTGATGTGTTCAATTAACAATATTGATTGTGAAATAAGCTCGAATAATTAATATGATCTAAAACTAATAGGATAGCCTATCCACACATTTTAAGACCCAAATACAATGACTATTCATAACAATTGATGAATGCCATTTGGGCAACCTAAATGTATTCGGCTAACAATTCAAGCTATTTTAAGGCCCAAATAAAGTTAAGTGTGCAAAAAATAGTTATGAAAATTTTCCCTTTATTTCTAAAGTATTATCCTTGATACATGTATTGGACATAACCTTTTTTAAAACAATAGGCTTTATTCTTTATAACTGCGCGTAGCAATTATATTTTGCACTTTATTATTTTTTCATTGTATCAAAGCCCACACAACATATGATTTTAACTTTCAAATATCATTCACAAACAGTTACAATTTCATTATACTTCACGAATCAAAACAACATATATTATAAATTTTGATGTAGTTTGATTAACATATAAACTTCATCCATCCAAATTGGTATAACACCAACACAGAATACACAACTCAATCTAATTATACTCTAAAATATAGTTTACAGAAGATTCCTACTACAATCCTAGAGATGAATCCCATGATAAATTTTATATAATAAAGATTTGGACTTTGTGCATTTAGTCTTCCAGCATTTTGCTTTCCAGCATCTACTGTTCCTCCATAGACATCCCCATCAAATGCAGCGATGCTTGAGCCAGGCATATCATCATCTAAAACTCCTTTAATTTTACCATTGGGTGTTGCCACGTGACCTTGATCTTCATCACTCTTACTAACATCGAAACTTGTAGATGCTTGATGACATCTAATATCACTATCTGATTCCCTAAACAATTTCAAAGCTTCCATTGCCTCGTCCATAGTCTCATAAGATTCATACATACTATGACTGATAGCTAAAACGCGTATTGCATATTCTTGCCACGATCTACATATCCCTAGTCGATACCACGAAAACCACATAAAACTTTGATTTTTGTCTATTACAATAAGATTCTATTTCAAGTATAGAGCAACACAGCTATTGCTAAGAAGAAAGGAAGAGAACTTTTATACAGTTCAAATGATAATGAATTTGCAAGGCAGCAGTTCTCTTAAAAAGCCGCAAGTAAATTAGTATTATTTGTTGGAAAAAAGTAACTTTTTTTTTTTTAAAATAAAAGCCTTTGCATATTCATTGTTATTTTCACCCGTTTAGTGTTCTGTCTAAGAATATTTAATGAAGATGGAGAAAAAGTTTGAATTTCAAAATTTCATTGTCTTCACTGTCCACCAAAATCAACAACTTTTTCGGGAGAATAAAATTGACATTGCATATATTGAACTAAACAATATAGACTTTTTGGATATAATGATCTTGGATTACCATATGTCAAAATCTTTTCTCTTAAATTTAATGGCATAAAAAGATTTTGAATGGATACAAAAATTTTCTATTAACAATAACAATTTTAACATTCGAATAATTTGGTCTTTTTGGGAATCCTCATTAATCAAGACATTATTATAATTGCCCGACCCGACCCTGTAATCTGTTTTGAATTCTCGGCGTCGAGTTTTTATAATCTGACACATCATAAGATTCTAAACAAAAGGCAACCCTATCCCGTCGTGGATTAAAAATATTAAAAAATCTCTCGTGGGTCCAAGAAGATAGGTTCACGCTTCTATACGATATAGGGAAGAGAATAAAACGACAGAGCTGTGACAATATTAGTACTCAATGACTTGGCCAGTAGTCTCGTTCTGATTCTCTCTGTAAGAGGGATACACAGAAAACACAATGTAACTAATTAACTAGTAATTATATTATTACTATAATATAAAAACCCCGCAAAAAAAGAGAGAGAATAGGTTATTTTGGTTTTGTTCTATATCGTAATCCGAAAGGAGGAAGCCGCAGCCCGCAAGAACAGAATCTTTACTTTGCTTCTCTTTACACTAGACAATGGGAAGCGACAGCGAAAGAAAGAGTAAGATTAATAACAATGAGAATAGATTGCAGATACCGCCGGCGACGGAGAAGATGATACAGAGTATAAGAGAAATTATCGACGATAACTGCACGGATACTGAGATCTACAGTGTCCTTAAAGAGTGTGACATGGACCCAAACGACGCCGTTCAAAGACTCCTTTCTCAAGGTTTTTTTCTTGTTATTCTCCTTCTGTTAAAAAGCTTTTAGTTTTCTTTTTCGTTGGATGGGAGGAGCAAGTTATGGCATTGAGTTGTTGTTTGTTTGTTTGTTTATTTATTTTTGTTTTTTTATATTATCATTGTGTTATTTTTGTTTTTTTAAACGAGAAATTTGTGATTTTTTTTTTTTGTTCTGGATGGAGAAAACTTCTCTAAGATCTCGTTTTTTGTTTTCTGGAATTATTTTGAGATAAAAATAATGTATGCAATTCTTGGAAAGTTTTTAGTTTTGCAGGCAATGTATGTAATTTTCTGTTTGGTTCCCTGGAAAGATTGAGATTTTGATTGATAGTCTTGACACCCTCTACTGTATATTCGTCGAACTAGTACTATTTTAGGGAAATGTTGCATATTTTTTTTTTGTCTCCAGGGGTCGGTTTAATATCCGTTTGCTTTTTTTTTTTTTTTTGAAATTTATATTTAATCTTATCGTTTTCTTGTTGGTTCAATTGTTAAATTGGTATTTCTGAATCATGTAGATATTTTTCATGAAGTGAAAAGCAAGCGAGAAAGAAGAAAAGAGGTACTTTTTTTTCTGTTCATTTTTTTATTTTTTTTTATTTTTGGTTCTTATTTAGTTATATATTTTTCACATTTTCCACTTTTCCTTTGTAATTTCTGTATGCATTTCATTTCAAGGGATTAATTATTCCACTAAACCTGTGCGTGTGCTGTAGATAAGGTTTCTGATCATCCATTCTTCTTCTTCTTCTTTTTCCCCTTTTATTCGCCTAATTTTTTTATGCAATTTTTTGTATGTACAAATTACTTATCTATTTTTTATTTTTTACACCAATTATTATATATTTGTTTTCTATAGATGAAAGAGACGCAAGAATCAAAGGCTCGGTGCAGTAGCAATGGTTATCGTGGAGTTAAAGGCTGTGCAGAATATAATGTTGGACGTTCATCATCTCAAATCAGCTACAATGGTGTGTTTATCTTACTGTACAATGTGAAACACTTGTCTGGTGGCAGAAGAGGTGATATTAAGTTGGATTTCAATATTGTATATTCTTACTACATGAACTTGTGTCCTCCTGGCAGACCTTGGTAAAGCTGCATACGTGAGAGAGAATCTGTCCATTCCTCCTGCAGTAACTTCTTCATCATCTTTGACATATCATATGAGAACTGTGAATGAGCAGCTTTCACCTCATAGGTTAGTTCTTATAAGAAATACAGGTTTATTTTTGTCCTCTGTGCGTTTAGAATATATATGTATATAATATTTTTTCTTTAAGTAAAAAATAATTGAATAATCGAAAGAAAAATCTAAGGATTTTTGGTTTAGTTCAAATGAATCTGCACTTGACAGTTTTCAGTTTACCAATGCTGTTAAAAGTATCTGATGCATTAACATGCCAAAGATCTTTCAAGCATGTGTACAAGGTGAAAAGTGGCACTCCTAGAAAGTATATTTTTTAAGATGTGTTTCAAAAAGATGTGCACAGTCATAAATATGAGGAAAGAGGAAAAAAATGTGCATAGTCATTAATAATTGTGTGGTCGTAACTTGTAAAAATACCTCATCATGTAGCAATTATAACTACAGGTTCTGTATTCTACCATCATACTCTAACCCCCTATTTCCCTTTTCTTGTCGGTGATGTTGGGGATTACCTTTTGATTTTATAGGCTTTCAAATATCCACAATGACATGATTTATGTGGTTAATGTTCAGAGACTAGGCACTTCCACCAGCATGGTTTTAAGTATTGATTGTTACACAATCACTCTAATTGTGACATACTGGTGCAATTGATGCTGTAGTTTTTCTAAACAAATTCGCAATTGCTAACCATAACCTGTATGCTTCAGCACAACACACTGAAAAACCAGACACGACTGTGAACATAATTCAAAACTTTGCCCACAGGGTATTCCTAGTTAATCTTGGTCAAATGCACTTCACCTTGGAGCTAAATTTCTTTGTCCTTGTAAGCAACCGGCTTGTCTAAGGCATACTTCTGATGACACAGTCTTTATTAATGAATTCTGCACCAGCATCTGCATGTGTAATTTATTGTATTTTGTTCTTGTGTTTTCTTTTGTGTTGAGGGGAGGGAATGAATGATGTACATGATGGGATTATGATGGAATAATTTAGAAATTTCAGTCAATGTATCCAATCCTTAGGTTACGGTAGTTGCTTAACGCTATAGTCTTGTTATAATCCTTATTTCAGTGAAATTGTTCTGCTAATTATGTTAGTTTTTTTTTTTTTTTTTTTATTTCCAAGTGAAATTGCGTTCTGCTAATTATGTTAGTTTTTTTTTTTTTTTTTGGTGGGGTGGGGCCGGTGGGGGTGTCTGCACGTGAGTTGTGGATAAGCAAGTAGTCTCAGCATCCTTTAAATTGGGTGAAGGGAATAAAAAAGATATTTCAGAAGGGCATTTTTCATGGAATTATATTTATTTTTTTTTTTTTTTTTTTTGGGTGGGGGTTGGGGCGGTGGGGGTGGTCTGCACGTGAGTTGTGGATAAGCAAGTAGTCTGCAGCATCTTAATTTGTGGAAGGGAATAAAAGATATTTAGAATGCAGTTTTCATGGAATAATTTAGAAATTTTAGTGAATAGGTCCAATCATTAGTGTCATACACCAGTTGCATACAGTGCATAGTGCCCCCATTTGGTCTTGTAATAGTCCTAATTTGTGTTACTAGTGCTTCATTAATCTATGAATACAAAAGATGGAGGTGCTAGCAAATATGCAGAGATGCATAATCATTTGTTCAGATGCTTACTTGCTTAGTATTACATATATTCATGCCTATGTGTACTAATGGATGTGTTGAGATAATTTCTTCTTTTTTCACTGACCTCTTTATTGCAGTTTTCTAATAATTTTATGAACATTTTAAGCTCTTTTTCGTTACAAGCTGATTTGTGGCAAAGAAATTAATCAGGAATTCTGGCCTTTAAATATGTAGGTCTCTGCCGCTTGGATCATGTTATGTAGGTTTCTAAACAACAAATGTTAGCATTTGAAGAAATATAGAAAGGGGAGGGCATTATAATAGTCCTTTAATAGTAGACCCTTTTCATTATGTCCACACTCCTACTTTTTTCTGTTATGTTCTTATGGAGTTCAGTATGCGAATCTCTAGCCAGAGTTTTGAATTTATGGAAAGTAAGATATTTCTCTTTCTTACAGCACAGCACAATTTTGTTTGGCTGGGCAATTGCATTTGGCTATATCATGTGCTGGTGCATAGAGCTTTTTTTACCACCTTAGTTGACCTTATGTTGCTTTACATAATTTGCCCACTGCCTTTTTTCTTTGCATACTGAAATGAACACTGTGCTCCTTTTGCTTTATGGTTTATTGGAAGCATATGGTCTACTTTTAACATCTGAGAAGAACGCACTTTTCCATTGGCTTTTATTTGTTTACTTAATGTTCAAGTGTAAGTAATTAATCTCTTAAGTATTTGCTTTTGTTAACTTATTGGCTTTGTTTTTTACTGAATGCATTATATTAGTTTTGATTGATCTTGGAATTTGACTACAGTGATTCTTTCAGCCCTGATAATGGAAGGGAAACTCTTGGAACTGCCAATACCATCTTTTCATCTGAACCAACATCTCTAGCGCCTCAAGCTGCTTTTGGTGGGGGTCCTTCTGGACATGCTTCTATGGCTGATATTGTTAAGATGTCTTGCCAACACAATATGGCTTCAAACATTGTAATGGAGACATCTTATACACTTCAAGATACTGACGCACAAGATTCATTCCATAGTAATCTCAAGCCTTCCTCCAATTCTTCAACTCTGCAAGAAATGCAGGAGTTGCAATCTCCACATCCTGCTGAAGTGTCAATTACTATACATCAATCTGGCATCATTGCCAGCCGGCACGATTTGGATGATGAATGGCCTGTAATTGAGCAGCGGATGTCTATGAGTGGGTCATCTATCTTAAATATTTCAAGTACCCCTGGCCTTGGGACGTTTCCTAATCATTCTCACTTGTTTGGTGATGAAACCAAATTATCTAACAACATCCACTCAGAGAATGTCCGTGTATCAGAGATGGATGTTGCTAGCAAGAATCTTGGTTCAAACTGTGTTGAACCTGAGTCTCCATCTAGTAGACAGGAAAATGCAAATCATGTTGGAGGTGCATCATTTAATGACATGATTTCCTATGACTTGCATAGGTGCATGAATGAACTTCATGAAGGTAACTTTCAGGAGGAAGCTTTCATGTTGTCAGTTTGATGTTAACAATGATTATTTACCTTTGACTACCAACGAAAAATGAGTTAGGCAATGCTATATTGCTATATCACACATTTTGTCATTTGCATTACCTATATATTTTTCCTTTTATGATGCCCTGCACTATATATGTCTTAATGCTATATGTTTTTGATGAGAATCTGAAAGATGCGGTAAAGATGACTAAAAGGCTTCCGCAATTATTTATTTCTTTTAGACCTCAGACATACATTTATTAACTTACTGTTCGATTATTGTATGCAATACTAGATGACAGACAACTATAGAAGAAGCGAATTGCTTCTGGAATTGCTTTTTGTTCAAGAATAATGACTATTGACTTCTTACTGCCATAAAGGGACTCTCCGTTACAAGTTGAGAGGGAAAAAAATAGAGATAAGGCTTGGAACTATTTTGTGTTTCTTTTGTAAGAATTAGGATGTGAGCTTTCAGTTGCAAGTTTGAGAGAACCACACCAAATGGTTACTCAAATGCGTTCTGTTTAGGATCAACTTAATTCAGCTTTCAAAGCATGTTATTTCATTATGTCTTTAATTTTAATACTTATGATGCTGAAGGAATACATTAAACAAACCCCAGCTAGATCAGATTGATGTTAAATTCAGGTGGTGGATGGTAAAGGGACTGACTTAAAATTAGAAAGGTGATGCTAACTTAGCCTAGAGTAGTCTCTGATTAAGCCATATTAATGTGCTATTGGTTTAGTCTTGGTGCCCTTGTTTTGGAGGCTGCCACTGGATTAAAAATAAAGTAATGCTTGTGGAGAATCTGGTCTTATCAGGTCTTCACTTTTGCATTGCCATTTCATATGTGCAAAAGCAATAAAAATTTGGTTATAATTAGTCTAGAAAGCAGACAGCTTCTTTTCTTTTTACTCATTTTCAGAACTACTGAATGCCTTTGGATTGGATATAAAATTTTATGAGGATATTTTTTACTTTCAGCCTCCTCAATTGTAATGCATCTTTAGCCATTAGTTATCTAGTTGCTCTATCATTGGAGTAGTGCTTAAAAGTTAGGCTACTGGCTAGCATGCACACAAACGGCAACCCTATGGTTTTTCCAATTTTCAGAATGTTTCAGACACGGTGCATCTGACATGGGCCTGAAATGTTTCATGACTGTTTCTGTAATTTTGATAAATTTGGAAACTTAAAAAAAAAAAAAAAAAAATTCTCCCCTTCTCAAAGAGAGAGAATCTGTTGAGCAGCAACAGCTGAAAGTGAAGACCAGAATGACAAACTGTTGAGCAGCAAATCGGCAACAGAATCAATCACTCTCTCTCTCTCCCTCACACACACACACACACACACACACACACTCACACTCTGAGTCAGAATCACAAAAGAAGACCAAGTTTTGTTTCTTGATTTTTCTCCCTTGTGAATCTATTACTGGTGACTAGTGTTGCATGTAGGCTAGACTCTCACTATCTTTGGATTAGAGTTTACATTGGTTGAGCTCTATGCATAGGCCCACTTTGGATATCTTCTAAGCATATTCATTCTTCTACTGCGGTTTTTTTCTTTTTTCTTTTTGAATAATATGATTTATTTTATAACTACTATTTACAAGATTTTTAGTTTCTTCCATTTAAATGAATAGTGGCTTTTGGTATTTGATAATTGACAGATTAACATTTCTTTTGAAAATAGCATATTTATTTATTTATATTATGCTGTAGTTAGGTTTTTAATTTTGGGCTTTAGTTGATGATTTTTAAATATTTATAATTATAATAATACCCATAAATTTACGTGGTTCCTCTACAAAATACACTTCCCCATCTCTGTTTCATGTTGTATCTGTTTCCTGTTTCTGTTTTAATTAGGCTACTGGATCCAGATTTTCTATTTTTTACACTTGGTGAAAAAGCGAAGCTGCAAGGTTATATAAGGGACTTAAATTTTGAAGCTGTGTGATACTAGTAGAAAGTCATGAATTTGCTGCTATTTATTTATATTCATTAGTTGGTGATAGGAGTGATGGTTGGGTTGAGTATCTGAGTTTGATGTTCTAAGCAGATTGGATATTAGTGTGAAGAGTGTGAGTGCTTAACCAGGAGTTGTCATAAGCAACTTAACTTAGTTTGAGCTTACCTTCCTACAATTCTAGATGGCATTGGAAAGTTGTAATAAGGTTTTGTTTTATCAGTTATATGCAAATATATCCATGCACACAGGTTTGTAGTATTTATTGTGAATTTCAAATAGTTAGATGTGGTAATAATAACTTTTATAGTTTTAAGGACTTATCTGTGTACATGTGCATATCTGGTTTGGTGGTAAGTAATTTAAGAAAAATAATAAGCTATGTACTGATTTCATATTCATATTGCTCGTTAACAGAATGAATTCTATATCATATCCACTCAAGATCTGATCCACATTCATTGTGAAAAAACTTTATCAGTGAGCTCTGAAAGCATTTAAGAAGCTGCTGTTACTTGTTGGGTTTAGTTAACATTTTAAAATTATAATTACTTTTTGGTGGAAAGATCGTACTCCATCTTTCAAAGAATAGCTTGTTTGTTTCAACCTTTGTTATTAATATGCAGGCATTAAGGGATCACAACTTATCACTAGCCTATTAAATTAAGAGTTTGTTCAAACTCTTTTCCTTTTATCTTTTTCCTTTCCCCTCTTTGTATGTGTGGTATTCTTATGATCCAGGAAGAAGTTTTCGTAGTATCAGGAGCGTGAACCTTGCAATTAATTCTTCTTTTCTTGTTCTCCCAATTTTAGGAAGAGAAAGTGGCTCTCATTTACCTTTTGCAAACTGCTCTGCCCCTTTGAATGATGAGGTAACATCGACAGCTGTGACCTTGCAGCAACTGAGTTTGGAGAAGGAGACCAAAGTAGTGCCGCTAGCAGAGGATAACTGTGGGGTCGTGTTTCCAACTGATATGCAAGCCTTTGCTGCTGACTGCTCACATTTGAGTTTTGGTACATATAAATCTGGTGTGCCTGCTACTGCTTTTGGGCCGTTGGAATCTAATCCGTTGAAAAGTAATTTGGAGGCATCTGGAATGAACGACGTGATATCTTCTGTTAGCTTGGCGCCTAGGCATGAGACTTTAAGCTTAGTTCTTGTATATATTACATCTTTTTGTTATGGTTCACAAAGTTATGATTGCTTCCGTGCAGAAATTCAGGGTACCTTGGTGACTCCCTATGCAATGAGCAGGTTGCATCAATGTCCGATTCTCATCAATTAACTGCAAATATTAGGAAGCTTGAATTTCCAGTATCTTCACAGATAGAGTTAATGAAACAAAATATCCTTCAAGTTAATGGTGGGCATGATTACAGCTCACCAAAATCTATACCTGATTCCTGTTTCAAGAATATTCAAGAGCATAATTCTTCCCTGTCTGTTGTGATAAATCCACATGCCAGGAATCTTCCTCCTCTTCATCGGCAGCTGGTAATGATATTGCTTTACTGATGGACTTCTTTTAATGAGTTATCTGTGCATGAATTCTGCTCTTCTTTTTTTATTTTTTTTATTTTTTTTTAATATGAAATATGCACCGAATCTGCTTGCTAAATGCCCAAAAAGAAAAGTCTTTCTTTTCTTGCCTTCCATATTTTTTCATCTGGGCATTTTTTTGGGGTTAGTTCCATCTGACCTAACAGATTCAGATGTCTGCTTAAGAGAGCTTGTTATGGGCGAACTTGAATTAATGATAGAATACAGGGTTTCGGTTTAATGTAGAAACCGAAATGAGGTTTAGAAATTGATTGGTTTTATTTGATTAGGATTCAAATATTTTTGAAACCAGAATATTGGAGAAATTAGCCAATGGGATCTGAAAGAAAATTGTGAAATATCAATTTCATGATCAAAGCTAGAATGATACATGGGATTAATTGTTGTAGCTTGAAGTACGAGTTTAGAATGAAATATGGCTAGAAAAGAAGTTATGATCAACAAAATGAAAGCTGCAATGGTGGCTTCATTTTCACTCGGCATTGACAATCATCACATCGGGGCAAAAAAACAAAGATTTGGATCCCAACTCCAAGACACTCGGCCACTTTTTCCTTTGGGGTTGACGGCCTGAATTTTTTTCTTATTCTATTTTCTTCTTGCTGATCAAGGCTACCTTGCTTGCATCTACTGTATAAGCGGAGTGATTTGTCGAGTCTACGAAGCTTAGATAGCATCAATTAAAATGACACTATTGGAAAAGATGGTCAAATAATCGGCTCAGTGCAACTAACTTATAGGAGAATGCTGTCCCCTAGGGCACTGCCAGTAGTTTCGGTTGAATCTCGTGCATGACCTAGAAAGAACAGAAAAAATCCAAACTCCTCCCTTGGAAGTATTTTAGCTATAGGACCAGAAGAAATTAAAAAAGAAAGAGAAAAAGGGGGGGGGGGGGGGGGGGAGAATGCTGTCCCCTAAAGGGCAACTGCCAGTATTTCGGTTGGAATCTCGTGCATGACTAGAAAGAACAGAAAAAATCCAAACTCCTCGCCTTGGGAGTTTTTAGCTTATAGGATCCAGAAGAAATAAAAAAGAAAGAGAAAAAGGGGGGGGGGTGGTGACTAATTACCCTCCTAACCTGTTGTGTTTTGAAACTGGGGAAAATTCTGAAGCGATATCAAGTACAAATTACGGGTGGGTGACTAATTGAACTCCTACCTTGTTGGTGTTTTGAACTGGGAAAATTCTGAAGCGATATCAAGTACAAATTACTTTTTCCTAATTAGTTTTTTCTTTGATTGCATAACTGACGCTTGTTCTAAATAGCTCTTGCCCCTCTAAAATTCTTGACTTAAGCTACGCATGCCAACTATCTATGTGATGTTATTAGTGCCTCTTTGGTATAAGCTATTTTTTAAATCATTGTTCTACATTTATGTGATGTTATTAGTGCCTCTTTGGCAGGATTATTTCATTTGATATTTCTAGGTAAATTGCTTCCACTACTATTTATTTGTTTATTTGTTCTATTTACTTTTGGTACTTGTCTAACTGATTCAGATAAGTGAAGTCCTTGTTTACCGTGGTCTTTGGTTTTATTTCCCTTCCTTTGGTCTGTGCTTGCAGATCCTGTTTCTTGTTGGTTGTTTATTTATGGTATTAATGTTGAGTTGTGACAATGTCAGTTCCTGCTACTGTTTTTATTACATTGGAAATTCTGTTGCAGCAAGCAAGTTCAATGTCTGTACCAGTTGATTTGTTGGCATCAGCTGTTCAATCCGTGAAAGACTCTAATCATGTCCTTTCACCTTCTGTTGGAACACAGTCGTTGGCATCAAATTACAATGATATCATATCAACTGCTGCCGGTTCAACCATTCCTATTACAGAGGTATGTAATAAATGATATGTGAAATTTTGGATTTCATACACAATTAAAGTTGCTTCTCATTCAAATGCAGAGAGGACTGAAGGAGATGTTTCTTTGTCGAATTTTTTTATTTGTTATATATGCATAAACCTTAAATTCAAGACGCTTATATTCTGTAAACATGATTTACAAGTAGAGGATGGATTGAATGTTGGATTCAGGTTGTAATAATTTTGTTTCATTTCGGTAACCTATGGTTTGTTGGTCTCAACAACCTAAATTTTACATTTCAGACCACTTCTGTTTAGTATGAACCTGGTTATTTTGATGTTCAGTGTGTATGTATATATTTTTTTGCAGGTTTTGAATTCTGTTGCCTTTTCTTCACCCATGTTGCACTCGTCTGCGCTGCCTACTTCAAGCCTAACTTCAGGTCACGTGGTTCCCCAACATCTCCCAGCACATTCCTACTCTCAGTCTCCACTTTCCTTGGAAGAATTGCTCAATTGGAATGCCTACTCTGCTGTTCCTCAAACCTATTCCGGAATTCCATCTGCTTTGCAGCAACAGCAAGCATATCAAGATAGCAGTGCGTTCCTTGATCCCCTGGCTGGAATGAGGTACAACCTCCAACAATTAAGAGGTGTTGCCTCTAGGAGTAGCATCCCTCTGTCTCATGCAAATGTTTCTAGTTATGGAGGTCTGGGGAATTCTACCAACTTTTCTGGGAGCTTTCTGAATGACCCGTCTGCAACCATTAATCGGTCTGTGGTTGGCTATAATGATCTTTTACGTTCCCAGTACAAGGAGGGCAATAACTTCACAATGCTTCACCAGGTAGGGTCTCAATATTTTAGCATTGATTTTTGTTCGTTCATTACATGAAGTTGCATGCCAGTACTTGTGGAATCCTTCCATTTAGTTCATTTATGACTTGGTTTTACTAGTTTCAGCAGTTGGGTTTTAAAATTTGGTTACTTATCTGTATTTTTATTTGTCGTTCTCTCTTTTTTTTTTTTTTTTCCTTAAAATGAAAACCAGAATCATAGCCTTTCTTCATGGGATTATGAACCTGGCTCCAGACCACTGTCAACTGTTCCAAACAATGGATATTACAACTTCCAAGGAGGTCAGCCACCTATGTATCAACAAGGTCAACTGCTCTCACAGAATTATGGTGCTCCAGTTTTCCATTCACAACAAAGAATCTTGCGGGAAGAACAGCAGCAAAACCTTGGTGATTTGCCGTTAAGCAGTTCTCAAGGTCCATCTAAGCAAGTACGCCAACTCTGGCATCATACTAACTAATGGTTGTAGGTCATCAGCTAATCCATTTCTCCAACTTAGGCTGCACAGCGACTGATGGTTTCTTTTTTCCCTGTTTTGGTAGTGAGTTTGAAAGCAAGGAATTAGGTCGGTTTACAGTTTTATTTTGAAATGTATGATTGATTTTGAGGGTTTGGCCTTGTCCAATTGTAAATACCTAAAAAGAGATGAAACTGTGACATGCCTTAATGTTGTATTTTACCTGATTTCATATTGGGGCATGATTTAGAAGATTAGATTGCTAATGCTAATTCATACACAGGCGTTTTGATTGAAAATTTGGCTACAGCATAATAATTTGGATCACCCAAATTTTGTTCATCTGAGAAATGTTTCCATGGACAATCCATACTTCTCATACAAAAACTGTATAGAATTGTATTTGTTTTGTTTCTTTTTACTTTTTATTTGTTAGGCCAAATTTAATACTTTGAAGTACAGTTCTTGCTATTGCAGAATATTTATATGAGAATTGGGTAACTGCCGGAAAGGCAATTGACATGAGGGAAATGTCAGTTGGAAAGTAGGCAGTGGGAATAATGCATAAACTAGTGCAATAAACAAGGTTGGTGCCACTTAACCTTCTCCTAATCCAGATCATTCTTTTGGTTTCTTGCAATAAAATTATTAGCAGAAAATCCACTACTTAAACCCACATGGAGAAGCCAGTTGCCGCAAGATTTAACAGTCTCCTCAGTTGGATCCAAAAAGTATCATGGATCCGAACCAAGAATCAGACAAGGGTAATAACGATTACCGTAGGCCAAGCATTGAGTCAATTCTTATGTCTCCTAAGTTGCCAAAGGCAGTGCAACCAGTTTCTTCTGCACCTGAGGGGGAGACCATCAGGCGGCCTCGTGGCAGACCAGCTGGGTCAAAAAATAAGCCAAAACCACCCATTATTGTGACTAGAGACAGTGCTAATGCACTAAGAGCTCATGCAATGGAGGTCAGTTCAGGCTGTGACGTTAGTGAGAGTTTACTTAACTTTGCCAGGAGGAAGCAGCGTGGAATATGTGTGCTGAGTGGGAGTGGCTGTGTGACTAATGTAACCCTACGACAACCAGCGTCGTCTGGGGCCATTGTGACCCTTCATGGCCGGTTTGAGATACTATCATTGCTTGGTTCAATACTGCCTCCGCCTGCTCCACCTGGGATTACGGGGCTGACTATTTACTTAGCAGGAGCTCAAGGTCAGGTTGTGGGTGGTGGAGTGGTTGGTGCACTTATTGCTTCAGGCCCTGTTGTTATAATGGCAGCATCTTTCATGAATGCTACTTTTGATCGTTTGCCATTGGATGAGGATGAAATTGCTGCAGCTGTGCAAAATCAGCATTACCAAAATGGCCGTCACAACCACCACCACCATCACCTGGATATTTCAGATCTTTATGGAGTGCCACAGAACTTACTTACCAATGGTTCAGTTCCCCCAGAGATATACTCTTGGGCACCAGGACGAACCACCACAAAGTCCTAACCTAGTTTTTCTATATATGTCATAGCAGCTTGTTTCAGTGTTGTGCCAATTTCACTAGCCTTTTGGTAAAACATTATCTCTGTAGCTTTTGTTTTTATAATCATCAAGATTTTCCGAAATCTGTGGATTGTTGAATTCCCTCGTCCATACATTGCCTAATATAGCTTGTTGCTTAATTAAATACATATGTCACTTCCAGAACATCCAGTAAGTATATGGTAGATTGCTTTGGCTTTTGGGTGCTTCCTTCCACCGGCTACAAATTCATGAACTTCCCCATTCACTTCAATTGAACTACATCCAGTTTCTTTCTCTATCTGCATTTCTTTCAAAGAAAGCCTTTGCTTTATTGCTTCCTCAATATTACTAGAGGCAGCATAAACATTGGCCATAAGTACAAAACCTGAGCTTTCACTTGGATCTAATTCTATTAAACGTTTTGCTGCTCGTTTTGCCACGTCTTTATTTCCATATTTGCAGCAAGACCAGAGTAATGATCCCCATATAATTGTATCTGGATCCATAGGCATTCTTCTTATTAGCTCTTCTGCCTCTTCTATGCATCCTGCTCGGCCTAGCACATCAACAATAGAACTATAATGTTTCATAGATGGTTTAATCTTGTATCTTTCTTTCATTAACAAGAAATAATCCCTGGCTTTATCCACCAAGCCAGAGTAATTACAAGCTGTCAAGACACCAATAAAACTAACATTATCTGGTTTCAAATTTGACGACTCAAGTTTTGAAAATAATTGGATTGCTTCTTTTTCTAGACCATTCATAGCTAGGCCTAAAATTATTGAATTCCAACATGACAATCCTTTCTTTGGTGCACTCTTAAATACTTGAAGAGCCTTTTCAATGCTTCCACACTTTGAATACATGTCTATAATTGCTGTAATAACTATAGAATTCATTTCAAATTTATTTTTCACCATATAATCATGAATCCATTCCCCTTGCCTAATTGCTCCTAAGCAACCACAAGCGTTTAACAAGCTCACCATTGTAAATTCATTAGGCTTAATCCTAGACTTTTGCATTTCATGAAAGACCTTCAATGCATCAATAAATCTGCCTTTCCTAACATACCCACTAATCATTGAATTCCACGAAACTATATTCTTCAATGGCATTTTGTCGAACAATCTTTTAGATTCTTCAATTAATCCACATTTAGCAAATCCCATGATCATTATATTCCACCCAACAACATCAAAATTCATAATAGCTCTATCAAATAATTTTTTTGCTTCATTCAAGAACCCACAATTTGCATACATATACAAGATTGTATTTCGTATAAAGGGATCATTTTCAAGTCCCATCTTTATTACCCTACCATGAACCTGAGCTCCTTCCTGGGCAAGATCAAGCTGAGCATACGCTTTAAAAACTGAAGGATAAGTGAGTCTTTGCGGTTGAATTGGCGAATTGAGTAACATGTTGACGAATAAATAAATTGCATTTTGTGGATTGGAGCTTTGGGAAAAGCCTCTAATGATAGTATTCCATATGAAGAGATTTGGGTTGTGAATTTGAGTAAAAACTAAATATGCATAGTTGATGTCACCGGCCGGAGAGGTGCAAAAGGCTAATATCCGGCTAGCCGCAAAAGGGTCTTTGGCTAGACCAGTTTTAATGAATTGGGTATGGACTTTTTTAAGGTCTTTCATATTAGTGCAATTTTTATCGAGCATGGAGAGGTAAGTTTGGTTTGAAATGATGTTGGACATGGTCGTAGATGATAGAGTAACTGAGCATAAACAAGGTACCATTTTCCTTTGGTGGCTATTTCCTGTCTCTAAGCGCGTTATCCTTTCTTGGAGAAGATAGTGGAGCAAGGAAGTAGCGCGTCTGGGTCTTGATCTTAACGGACCTACGGCAATACAATTAGTGGTGCACACGGCCGGTTTGGAAGCACTTTGAAATCAAATTGTACATAATGACTTCTACATTTTTCAAATTGAACTAAATTATTTTTAGGAATATAACTGAATGAAATTTAGTTTGACTTTAAAAACAGTTTGAAATAAAGTTCATTTATGCTAATTAAATTTTTACTTGTAGCTCACCGCGAAATAGGTGAATAGAATATTGTGTTACTCAAAATAGAAGTTCATGTATTTTTAAGTAACAAATTGAAGTATAAGGACAATTAAGAAATATGACTATAATTCAGGAAGAAAATAATCCGTTATCCAAGTATAGTACAATTTCTTAATTTGTATTTTTCTTTGAATTTTTAACATTGTTTTGATAAGTTTATTTTTATAGTTATTTTAATATAATTTTTATTAGGATCTTAAATATTTTTTATTTATATTTTTATTTAATTTTTCATTTTGATTCCTTTATGATGTTGATCTTGTTTGTAGAAATTTAATTAGGAATTTGTCAAATATCAAACAAGGAAGAATGAGACCATGTAGATAATTGCCTAATTTGAGTTTCTATCTTATTTGGTCACTTTGAACTTCTATTTAGGAAGAAATTGAAGACTTAATCATTTCCTTTATGATTAAGTTTCTTCTTCTATAAGTTAGGATTGGCTTCATAGCGTTGAATAGTTGACTTTAATAGTTATGGAGGAATGCTAGTTTTCATCTGAGGACCTTGGTGATGATTGTTATCTTCTCAAATTTAACATGAAGGAGGATTATCATGTTGTACTCTTTGAGGGGGTATGGACTATCATAGAAAGTTATCTTATTGTTCAGCCTTGGGTCCTGATTTCAATATTCAATCTCATAAGGTTGAGCAAACAATTGTTTGGGTTCGGCTGCCAAGTCTTCCATTACACCTTTATAATAAAAAGGTGTTACGTAAAATTGAGGAGGTGCTTAGGTATGTCATTAAGATTGATTATAATATGGAAAACATTCTTTGAGGGAGTTTGCTAGCTCTTATAGTTGATGTCCGCTTCCCACTAATTTCTAAGTTGATGATTAATGGTAAATCTCAGCGTGTGGAATATGAGAATATTCTTGAGATTTATTTTTCATATGGACATGCAGGTTATAGGGATTTTACATGCTCATTTGCCTAGGGTCGTGATAAGGAGGTTGTTTGTAGTTCTTTTGTTCTTGTGGTTTAGGTTGAGGAGTCCTAACCGAAATATGGACTATGGATGGTTGTTGCCTACTGCCAACATCGTAACAATCCTACTAGTGGTCAACAAGTTGAGAACATCCTAAACATTTGGTTTGGAAAGTAAGGTTCAAAGACTTTTAGCGCATACTCTTAGCAGATCTTAAATACGCAAGCTATGTCTTGTTGAGCCTTCAACTAGATCAGCCTTAGACTAGATCAGCCTTCAACTTCTCATGATTGTAAGCAGTAAATTTCCCCTAGAGATCTAATTCCCTCCGGGTAGCCTCTGCTAAGGCTTTATCTAAATTAGCTAGCCTAGATTGCAAAGCAGCTAATCTCTTTACAGAAAAATTGAGCTTCCCCTTTAATGTCTCTTTCTCAACATCAACCTATAGGGCTCTCTAAGCAAATGCAGAACACTCTTCCTCCACCTAAGGTAACCTAAACCCTAGGATCTTTTACTTCTTTAGTAGTGCACTCATATCTCTACTTTAGCTCTAATCCTTTCCTCTTTGAGTCACCAAATTCTGACACCAATCCTATGAGGTTCGCTTTAGCTATTAAAACTTTCCCCTTTGCTTAATAGGCTTTTGTTTAGCTTGTAACACCCTGATTTTTGAGAACCATGAATCATTAGTAGTGCCAATTAGGTTTTGGTACTAATTTCAATCTTATTAAGTGAATTTTTGAATTGTGTTTCTTAATGTGTGAATCGTGCCTTGTATGCATAGTTTTCACAAATTGACTACTTGAATTGCATAATAGTGACTTCAATTTTGAAATTGGACTTAATTTGACTTATGATTTGAGGAGGAAAAATTGATTTGATTTTAGTTAATTGATTTAATTTTGACCTAAAGCTTTTTAATTTGATTGATTTTCACCTAGTCTAATTGATTTACCTTATTTTAATTGTAAAAATATAAAGTCTTAATTGTAAAACCTATTTAACATAGCCTAAGTGCCTACTTTGCTATTTGATCAAGTCAATAAAAAAATAAAAACAAAAGAAAAAAAAAAAATCCTAACCTAGCGTTCAAAGCCAAAAAGGCTGTAGCCTTCTTAGTTTTTTTTATCAAAGAAAACAATTTCTTCTTCTTCTTCTTAAGAGAGGCTGAAGCTTCTCCTCTGTTTTCGCCAAAATCCTGAAAAAACCTCAGAAGGATCTCGAAAAACATCTCTGTTGATTGGTTTGTGTTATTTGTTTTTGGAAAAAAGTGATAAAAATCTTTTTGGATACGCGATGCCGATAAATCGGTCTTATAAATTATTTTTGAGTCGCTATTTTACGATGTCTCTTTCTTGCCACATCCCTAACCTATCATGGGCCACTCTTCTAAGCCAAAATGCCAGAGAATCATCTTCTCCCATTCCAACCTAGTCAAGCGAGATACACCTAAACCTAGGACAAGTTCTTTTTACTTCCTTTTAGTTAGTGCACTCATACTCTACTTTTAGCTCTATACACCAAACTCTTTCCTCTCCACTCAGTGTGTTCACTAGTGTGATCCAAACACCCCTCAAACCTAGTCCTGACTCCTTCAATCCATCATCCGAGGATATCGGCTATTTAGCTTTATTAAAACTTTCCCCCTATACTCGCTCCAAAATCAGGCTTTTGTTTAGCTTGTAGACACCCTGATTTTTTTGCAGCCCAGAACAATATGAGATGACATTCTTATACTGTTAGTGTCACAATTAAGGTTCTTTTTACGTATTACACACTATATAAACACCAATTCTCATTATTAAGTGAAATTTTGAATGTGTTTCTTTAATGTTGTGAATCGTTGATTGTTTGAATCAACTGGCGATAGTTATCACAAGCAATTGTAACTACGAATTTGTGAATTGCATCAATATGTCGACTTTCAAGTTTTTTGAAATGGTCGACTTAATTGACTTATGATATGAAGGATAGAATGAGAAATGAAAATTGATTTGATTATGTGCAATGGTGTGATGTAATATGATTTAATTTGGACCTTGAACCACAGCTTTTTTAAGTTTTTTGATTTAGGGATTATTCACCTTGAGTTCTAACCTTGATTTACCTTTTCTTTACATCTTGTAAAAAATAGTATCTATTGAAAAGTTAACCTTTAATTTGTAATACCTATTTAGGTGATTAGGGCAGTGCCCTAGTTGCTATGTTTGATCCAGTCAATAAAATAAAACAAAATAAGAAAAAAAAAAATCCTAACTAGCGTTCAAAGCCAAAAGGCTGTTTTTGTAGCCTTTCTTAGTTTTATTCAAAGGAAAACATGTTTTCTTTTAATTCGTGTGAAGAGAGGCTAAGCTTCTTCTATAGTTTCGAGCACAAGAATCCGGGAAAAAACCTCAGAAGGATCTGTGCGAACAAATCATCTCTGTTTGCATCTGGCGTTTGTGTTATCTTTTGTTTTTTTGGAAAAAAGTTGAATAGAAAGACTTTTTGGATACGCGGGCGCTGGACCTGCTACCGATCCATGACTGAATAAATCGGTCTTATTAATTTTTGGTGTGTTAGAAAAGTCCGCCTACCATTATTTTTCGCTGCGGCAATGGACCCGTTCCCTATTTTAATAGATTATAATTACCTGACCGCCATACTTTAAAACCCCCCTCAATTTTGTATTCACAACGGTCCAAATTAATTTAAGACAAAACTTGCTGTGTTCAGGCTTTACCAAGTAACGATTGCTACCGGTATAGTGGGGAATTAATGATACGTCGGCCCCCGTTGGAAGCGTACCGCCCTCGGCGAAAAAGATCAGCGCCTGTTTTTTACCTTACGATTTCTACATTTGATTTTCTTGTATTTATTGGGAAAATCAGATTATTTAACCCATAACGCCCGCACTATAAATTAGTCAGAACACGAATAGTGTGCCATATGTTGGAAAATTTAATTTAATCGTCCCAAGTAAATAATTCATTTGCATCCATTCATAAATAAATTGTCACAGATCGCACCATTAACAATTAAATGCCCACTCATAACATTTTCCGAAAAATTATGTATGAGAATTAAAAAGACCGCTCTAATGGCCTGTCTATTTATCATGTGGGTTAAACAGCGCGCGGTGCCACAAGTCGAACGTTTTAATAAAAAGTAGTATTAACACAACAAAGGAGGAAATAAACATATTAATCTCAAATACCATAACTCACACAGATAATATGAACTTGGTATTGATTAAAACTCAGAAGTTTGACTCATATATTGATTATATTCCCGGGTGGACATTAAACTTAAGTGAGGGATCTACATTTTTTAATGACAATGCAATATTAAGACAAAATATGATAAAAGATCAACTCCTTTGGGGACTTGGAAGTACCTTCGCGTCACCCGCTTCCGCGGATGGTTTCTTGCGAAGAACAGTCAGAGTGCTGGCGCGTTCTTATCTTTTATTTTACTGAGGGGTTTTGTTGAATTAGTTAGCTGTCACGCAAGCTGCTCCATAACTGAACGAGAAACAGGTCTGCCAAGATGACGGAAACTTGGATTTTGTGTCGTGGTAGACTAGACAGAGTTGCGTCACGCAGCTGCTTCCTATGGAACGACAGTCGCGTGACGTGAACTTCCTAACTACGTGACTGGGACATTATTCTGGACGTTGACTATATTTAAAAGAAGATTATTGCTACCGACTAGGTTGAATTATTTATTATACCAGGGAAAAACATTTCAACAATACAAGTATAAAAATCAGATAAAGAGCTGCCAACAAAGTACCGACCGAAATAGGCTGGCTCACGGAAGGTAGGGTCCATCCCTGTAGAGCTAAA